CTTATGCTGGTCTAACAGAAAAGTCCCTCCTTATATGGCACTTCGCCTGAACTCAGCATTCACAAAGCAGGATGTCACAAGTTCTGCATAGACGTTCTGTGAAATCATTAACAGACAGCACTTGTTATGCGTTTCCTGCTCACAGGCAAAGAACATGCAGTTTGATCTTTAGGAGATAAATTGTTAAAAGCATTTATTCTGGATTCCTCAGTATGGATCACTTTAGTTCTTGATAGGTATTTAAATATTGTTACTGGCTTTGCAGTTTTATTTGCCCAGTGGTCATCATTCATTCTGACACATACTATTCTGTGCTCATACATGTGACATCAGTTAATGTTTCATCTCTTGGAATGCAAGCCACAACAGACTTTTCTTTGTTTTAGAAATCAAAAAGTACACGAATTACCAGTCATGAAAACGGCCTAATTGAAACCAACTGGTATATAATTATTTTAAAACAGATTCCCATGTTGCAGACCTATTCATTCATACTGTATACATAGACACATGACTTTGAAGCATATTGTGAGCTTTTTACACAGGAGAGGAAAAGACAACCTTGTACATCTTTCAATAGTGAGCTTACAGTAAGTACAGTATATGCCATATTCTATTTTTTGCATATTAATATACCTACAAACATTTTGTACTACTGAATTATTTGTAAAAACACAGATTAATGTTATATTAAATAATGATTTAGGTCTTGTGCTGCAATAAATGAAAAAGTATTCTAAAGTCTAAAGGACTTCTTAAATGGAGACATTTTTATCCTGTCCAGGGTATAGCCTTGTCACTTAACCAGTGCTTGCAGGACTCTGGGATGAAGTGACCCTTACTACATTTCTGCTAGTGGATGCATGAATGTATTAGACAACAATGACCAAGAGAATAAAATAATTACTATATATATCAGAGTGTATCCTGCCTTCACCAGCGACCCTGTATTGAATAAAACCATTTGAAAAAGGAGTTATGTTTCTCTTTAGTACATTCTGCATAGCACATCCAGATTTCAAGACCTGGAATATATACTCCATTTAGTGGCTTTGGTATAAAAAAGAAATAAATGTTACACATTGAACCTTTATGTTCACCTTTTATGGATCCAGAAGAAATAATCCATTTGACAGATTACATTTCAGAAGAAATGTACCACAAATCAAATCATTAGCTAAATATATTTTCTGTGCATTTTAAATTCATTATAGCTTACAAAAGAATCATGTAAAAGTGGCAATAGTAATTAATAATAATATAGGCTTCTCAACTGATGGTATATCTTCAATACAATTTCTACATTTATAAAAAACATTTGTATGCGTTTTAAGATTTTTGCTACAGTACATGATGTGGATCAGTTGAGGTGTCTGGAACGATATGAACAGATATAGAGGGGTAAGTTGGAGAAAAACTGAAGAAAGGTAAAGGGGATCCATCCATTTCAAGATACTGTACCACTTATTCCCAAACAGGGTTTTGGGATCATTCAAACCCATTATTACAATTACTGTTGACGGTGAAGCACCAATAGTCACGAATAGCAAAAAATGACTCTTTTTCACAGTGCACAGTACAGCACTGTTAGTACTGTATATTACATTCAAGGATATCTTTAGGCCTGTAGTAGGTCTACAAAATACATATTTTGCATGAATAAAACTGTGCATAAGACCATTCAAGAACAGTCATTCGCAACAAAAAAAAAAGCACATAACCTGCATCAAACGCACAAACCAAGTGCTGGAAGTGTAAGCAAAGAAAGTCCAAGAGCAACGCTGACTGAACGCTAGAAAAATGAAGATTAACTAATTAGTGAGCTTGTCGGAATCCTAGCTTCTTTGAATGGTATAACAAATCGCCACTAGTAAGAGAATTTGTTTTAATTATAAAGCATGAACAGCTCATGAAAATGTTTTGCTAATTGGTTTTTATAGCTTTAGCATCTATAAAGCTTTTAGATTAAGTGTAATTTTAAAGTTATGGAGTATTCTGTATTAATTGATTTTACTGAGAAGTGCATTTATTATTAATTGCATTCATCATTAAAGTATTTCTGTAAATTTAGCACACCAAGTTCAGCCCATATGGCTATAACTAACTTCTAGACAGTGTAAAAAAGAAATTGCCCTTGAAGGCTATCTTTAAATTATTTTTAAATTTATCATCCATGATAGTTATTTGGAAAAAGCCACTTTAAGTGTTATTTCCTAAGCAGGCAACGTCTCATGTACTTACAGTATTGTGATTAAAAAACGATGGAATCTCCCGTCCTAAATATTTAAATTTAATAAATGAAAAAGGGAATAGTCAATTTACTGAAACAGCTGTGACTGTTTCACTATTGTCACTGATTTTCCTCATTATCAATTGCGCATTTAAGCCTTTATGACCTGAAATATTGTTTTAGTTAAAAAAAAGTGAGAAGTGCGAATACATAGCGAACAGGACACTATTCATATCCTACTCTTCGTGAGACGAACTCTGGCCATTGTCCTCCCGGATCCATCATTCTAATCTTCCAACGTTCTGAAAAAAATACCTTCCTTCTCCTTTAAATGCCGACAAGGCATTAACGGGAAAATGATCCAATTAAAAAAAAACCGTTAATTACCTAAATACCATGCAGGTGCTGCAGACATTTAGATCAAGACCAGAGGGGGGAATTGTCTTTTTAGACGAGTAAAACAATGCAAGGCTTTCTTGAATGGTAAATAAGAAGTATCAATAATAACTCTTATGAAACATGAGTACGAAAAGTGTAACATTGTACTATATTTCACTAAGCTAATGATTTGATTAGTACAAAAAGGTTATAACTGTTGACATTGTAGCCATAGGCGCTTCATTTACCTTTCAAATTTCAAATCACCGAATCATCGCATTTGATTGAAAGATGTAATGTCATAGCTAATACTTTATTCAGTTTTTAACAAAACAATAAAGGTTTTCTTGGAATGAACATTATTTTATTTTTTCAGGCTTTATTCGGCGCTCATAACCTTTCTAAGCGTCTTTGTAGGTCATTCAGCTTCTGTTGGTAAGTAGGATTTTGTGTGCATGAAGCGTATTCATGAAGTCCCAGGGTCTTCGTTTTGTTGCCAACGTTGATAGTTTTTTTTAACTTTTAATCGATTAGTTTACTTGCTGAAATACGGATTTAAGTGATTAAGTATTTGGCTTGAACATGACCTCGAATATGACTTCCTTATATTCAGAATTATTGACTTGATTTTCCGTGTTTTTTAGAAGGGTAGTTAAATAGGCATCTGGATATCATCTGTATGTAAAATTAATACCAAAACAATTCTGAAATTTCGATTTTAGTCGAGTGTCAATAGTATTTGTTCTAACTAGAGCCCTGGTTGAGCGTTCGTTTCAGTTTTGACTGCAGAAATGTTTGGGTTGTTTTACAGGCAACTGTGGTACCTACTCTTTCTGCTGGATGATAAATTCCAATACCACCTATGAAAGGTAATGTTTATTTACATCGCAGACAACGTTGTAATACCAGGCGGGCAAGGTATTTCAGTACATCATATTCATGTTCCTCTATAAAAGTTCGTGAGCGAAACATAATGATATTCTTCCCATCATTTGCTTTCACACTTCATTCCTTTACGACAACGTTCGGCAATCTAAATCTTACGAGAACTGCAGGTTAACACTAGATACTGCAAGCAAAGCAATTAAAAAAGGTAATTCACATGATGTAAATGCAATGCTCATGTTATTATTCTACATGGTGAGAGGATGAACCACCACTGCTTTAGATTTTTATACTGTAAATGTGCACAATCTGTAAACTGGCTCGTATTTTTATTGTGCTACATCCTAATGTTGTTAGAAGAATGATACTAAATGCTTTCAGTTCTAATTCCAATTTGTAATGATTATGAGGAGAAAGCCTTGTTTTATTTTAGTGTGCATACAAGGACTTGTCAAGAGTGTGCATTTAGCTTTTATTGTGCCATTAAATATGACTAGGAACTTATTGGAAGTGTTTTTGCCATCTGTATCTCTGAAATTGTGCCCTTTCAGTGTCATACTAAATGGACCTCCCTAGTAAACTGAAATTCTGTCACCAGTAAGCCCATCCGTTCTTACCAGCACTGCTTGTTTGCCTTTTCACATAGTATTTTTAATGAATAGCGCACTGTTGCATTTTAAATGGGGAAATAATTTTGGTTGATTTTATAGACACAAGGTTCAGAAATGAGTGTTATAGTAAACTGGTACAAGAAGTGTTTTCTAAAGATATGTTGCTAATAGCATTCAATTAAACTAAAATATCTATCCCGACCATAGGTTGCATACCTTGAAGGTAAAATATTAATTCCCATGTTCATTTCCTTTTTAGATCGTATTTAACAGGAACTGATGATTTAATTCTTCTGAATGGGTAAAATGCATTATTAGAAATTTACAACCTTCTTCTTTTAAACAGCCTTGATAGCAATCTTTGGTTAAATGGTGTTGAATTGTTGTCGATTGGAGAAAAAGAAAAGTTCATGTCTCTGAAGTTGGTATCATCAGGTTTCCATTCATTAACATTTCAGAATGGAAGAGACCTCAGTACTTGGAGAATTTCAACAGGTGCATGTAAGTATAGTATAGTCTTTAAATTTCTGACTAACAGTTTTTTTAAATCCAAGAAATAGTGCTTTCGTTATTTGAAGTGCCAATTATTATTATAGCAACAATTTTATATTTGGGATACACTAAAATGTGTTTACAGTTTTATCGTTGGTAAAGTAAACCACTTTTAGTGTGTTTATGCTTGACATGAATCATGTCCTCATAAAAAGTTTAAGTGTTAATAAAATCAGTATATCTGTTAATTCATTCTAAATCAAATCAAAGTTTATTTATCAAATGCACAACAATATGGCGTTCAGCAGTAGTTGCTGGCAATGAAATGTATTTTTCTGCGAGCTCACAAGAATCGCAAAAATCACAAAATTGAGGTTACATTTTTGAAATTGAATAAAACTCAATGTGAGTAGAGCTCTTATGTGTCCATGGTGTATGCAATATATACATGTAGTGCAGTTATGCTGAATATAGTGAGAATTGCGTGTCCATGTAGCCATTACAGGTGATTTGCTAAGGAGCTACAGGTTGGCTATTTAGCAGTCTTATTGCCTGGAGGTAGAAGCTGTTCCGTAGTCTGTTGGACTTGGACCGAATGCTTTGGTACCGTTTACTGGACGGTAGGAGGGAAAATAGTTTGTGACTGGGATGACTGGGGTCCTTGAGAATGGACCTGGCCTTCTTCAGACATCTAGCTGAGTAGATCTCCTGGATGCTTGGTAGCTCACAGCTGGTGATAAGCTGCGCTGACTTCACCACCCTCTGCAATACTTTGCGAAGCACTTCTCATACCAGGCAAATTTTGGCAATGAAAGGCAGAATCTGCAGCAGGTTTGTGGCTTAGTTTATATTGTGGTTTTGCTGCTATGTAAATTATTTTTGGAATCAAACACATTATACTACTTGACAATAGCAGAAATAGCCAGCCCTTAATCCTGCATAGCCACATGATCTAGCATGTCATATTGATCATGCTTAAACCAATTTGTACTTAAAGCACATAATCTTAGATCAATTAAGTAAGCTAATTGTAATTGCTTTCAATTAATTCTTGAATGGTCAGTTTATTTAAAATAATCTTTGATTTAATTGCATGGATAACCTTAACTGGGTGAAGTAAAATTGATGTCCTTAGAAACTGATCATTTAAGGACCAGAGTTGGCTGACCATGTTGTATACAAGTGCTTTCCATTGCCTTCTGGAAACTACTTGAAAATGACACTCATAGTCCTTAGTTTTGTCTTGCATCAAAAGGGGCAGAATCGGTTTGATAGTATGGTATACTGTGGACTGAAATGGTTCAGAACACAGAAAAATATACAGTACATATTCACAAACAGGATGCTTAAACAAACAGTGCATTAACATTTGTTTTTCTCTCTTTACTATTTCATATGCAAGTAGAATTAATATAGCCATTACATCTAGTATTTACTGTGAACCTTACTCAAAAGCAACTAAGTGGTTAAAATGGGTTTACATGAAAAATGTTTCTCAAAAGGCAATGTAGAAGAACACTTTGTCTTGTAATAAACTCTTACTATTCTTCCTGGTTTGCAAAATGCTCAGTACATTATAATTCTGCCTTTCTTTTTCACTCTGCTGCAAAGCTGGTTCTATAACATTTTAGGTGCCCCTTGACATGTCATTTAATTATTTAAGCATCTTGTTTGTGGTGTTGTACACTAGTGCATATTCTGGTGCGATAATCATGGAGAACCTTTCTCAAGGCTACAACATCATCACCCCACCCACGGTTTGAAGCCATAACCTTTTAATCTGGAGTCTAGAGGCCTGAACACCATGCAATGCTGCTTCACTGTAGTCTAATTCCATTACCTAAAAGTCACTTTTTTGAAGGCACTTGAAGAATATTGTTTCTATTTTATCTGTATTAGTGCCGCCTATTTTTGTACTAGTTGTATTATTATGGTTAAATATGTTAAAGCAGATTTTATTCTGTTTATGCTTAGGTAATATTTGTCTCACCAGCATGCGTTATAGCGAGAGATGTTGTAAAATGGAGATGTTGATTCACCTCAGTGGTTTCCTCATCCTGAGCTTGTTTCTCTGGTCTGGAGATAGTGGCTTATGTGCAATGCTGGCTCCAGCAATCAGCCTGTTCGAGGGCCTCCTGGTATATTTGCGCATGTGTGCTATTCTGGCTCATGTAGGACCTCCAGTGAACTGGATGAGACACCTTTTCATTGCTGTTTCATTAATTAGTTCACTTTATAGTGGTGCTTCAATGTCGCTTTGCTCTGTCTCCCCACCCATGTCCTCTGTAGCATTTTCATTTGAGAAAACGACTTCTTTTTCAGTAGAATGCGTTTGCTATGGTAATCTTCTCATGACCAGCTGATCTAACAGTTGAGCAGATAGTTTAAAAATGTTCAATTCAGTTGCACTATTTTTCCACCCTAATGGAAGTTTTTCTTGTTTCCAGGTTCAGCCCCTTCTGTTGTAAAAAGTCAAAATGACCCTAAAGAGCAGCCCATCAGCAGCACAATTGTGAGTGTCGTTTCTGGTTTTCTAGGGGATTGTAAATGCTGTCAAATGTGTGTTCCTCAAATTTCTACAGTAGCATAGTGTTGGAGTTTGGCCTAAACTACACAAGTTCTCCCTCTTGTGGTGAAAACCTTTCATATGAAAATCAATTGGCACATGGCCAGAACAATAACAAATTTCTAAAATCAACTTACTGTATGTGATAGAATGCAAAAAATTAACATTTAGAATAAGAGGTGAATGTGGGGGGGGATCATTCAACAGTCCTGCTTTGTAATCCAAAGAAAGCTACAGTATTCTGAGGACTGAAGCATTGTACAATACCTCGACTAACTTTTCAAGTTCTAATGAAGCATAATGACACATACAGTAGGTTTAGGTTTTATTGTATTCACATTTTGCACTTTATTGGCACATTTCTGCCTGTTAGAATAAGTAGAGGAATATGTTGGTTTCTCAAGGTAATACAACCATTTTCTGCTGTTTGCATTTAAAGTCTGTTTTGAAAGGAAACTCGGTGCTCTTTTTATTCTGTAGGAGGTTTTGAAGTCTTTCACAGCTGATCAGGTTTTTGCATGTGAAAGCAAAACTCTCTATCTGCGTCAAGAGAAGGATCTTATTTTTGCAGTCGGTAAGCGTTGTTGCCTTTAAATTGAAAATATTTTTTTATATAGTTAGTGAAAATGCAAAAGAAATTAAAATGGCCAAGCATTTTTACAAGATCAAAATAAATTTATATAGTTAAAAAGTACAAATTCATACACATTTTGAAAGATGGCAGCAAACTTAAAAGGTTGTCTTGACTTGGAAAAGTCTTGGAGATATGCAGTTTGAAACATTACAGAGCCTATTTTGCTCCATTTGTGAGAAGTCAATTATGTTTCAGACATGAAAACAAAATCTACATTTTCATTTTATATATGCAACCTTAGTCTAGCAAACCAAGAAGAGTTCAAATAAATTACTTTGCTCTCAAAGAAATGACATCTGAATGAATCACAGTGTGCTGGTAGGTTTTTAACTGCTTGAATATGAGAATTTCTTTTTTTGGTTGGAGGTCAGTAGCATTAAATCATTAGTTTGGTTATATGGTTTTAGGTTAATGCATGTGCTCATGGAATTTTAAAATAGCAGTTTCCACTGACTTCTTTTTTTAAGAATTTTGATTGTCTAAACACCTCCCAGGTTACACTGAACGCTTTCCAGTGAGAGTCGAATCGAGGAGTGTCTCTACGCTGCAGCTCTCCTGGACTGTGTTGTCCACTCCACTTGAAGTCCCTGTGTACAGGGTCACCTTATATGAGCCTGAAGATGACGCTGCCATTTTGGTGAAGGAGGAATCTGTAACAGCACCCTACTACACGTTTCGCAACCTCGACTCCTGTAGGGATTACATTGCATGTGTGAATTATCCAAGTAATCCCTCCATCTTGTGTGTTAAAGCCCTCACGGGTAAGGCTGGTTGGTTGACATTGGAGTGTGTTGCTAGAACTGCTGAGGTGACAGGGAGCAGTTGTTAGTACTGCTGTAATTGGTTACAGAAAAGCTTTGCAGGGACCAGACAATTGTGTTAGCAATGTCTCATTTCAATCACATATTGCAGAGTTGACAAGTCTGAGGAAGACTGCATTTTCTTAAATGGACCCGAGTCTGCCACATTATTCTGGAAACCTCAGGGTTAATGAAAATCTATTGTGAAATATGAGAGAGAGGTTTTTAACTAATAATATGACATTCATATTAAAATAACTGTTTTCTTATTTTAGTTACCCAGTTTTTAGTTTGAGGTTATTTAAATGAATCAGCATACTTGTCCCCAAGGGAAAGCCTTTTTATTATATTAATAAAAATATATATTACTATCAAATATGGTATAAAAAGTAATATAATCAGTTTTTCTTATTTATAAACCTCAAGACTGACAGAATGTCTTTCCTGCTACTGAGGAATGGTCAATAGTTTTGAGGTTTGCGCCGGCCAAAAACAATCTGATTGTGCTTTGAAATTGTCATTTATAAAAGTATAATATTTAAAATAAGTTTTTTTTATTACATATTACATTTTGAAAGTAATGTTTCCTCAATTCAAGACACAAACTGTAAATAATTCAATTCCAAAACTGAAGATGAATGTTTTTAATTCGCAAAACTTAGTTTTTTTTTATATTTAATTGTGGTAAAATTTAGGGTTTGAGTATATGATATAATAAAATGACAGTAACAACAATGGCAACAGAATTGCACAAGATGCAAAATAAGTAGAAATTTTAACACTGTGGATTGGTAGAAGTCAGGTACTCACAGCTTTGTTATAATTTAAGTTTTTATTTGTTGTGATATCCGGCGGTTTGTTACACCTGCTTCAAACGTGTACTGTATGTGGGATGTTGATTTTTTTTTGTAAATTTCCAGCTGGGGATGAAAAAATATTGACCGACGTATATACATACAGTAATATGGTGTTGCCCTTATATTGTATTTCTTCATCTGTCATATTGATGTTATGTTGAAAGTATACAGTACTTGGTGAGTGTTCGATGTTAAATTGTACATTACTCCTGCACCGCTTGGACTCCCTTTCCACACCCTTAGGGGTGCAGGCATCCCAGGTTAAGAACTCCTGTTTTATTCAGTCAAATATAAAATTGTATGCTATCCATACTACAAAATTTATTCCTTGTGATTTTCAAGGTTTAATCTCTGCTTGATACAGGCTTGTATCCAGAGCTGTTTAGCCCAGCTGGACAGGAGAGATGAAACTCCAGTGGCTGAGATGTATCGAGGGGTAGTTGAATCACAACACAATCTCCAGCTACACCTATGCTACACTAGCCAAATCCACTATAATTGGAAATGATTACTAGTAACCACAAAACTTAGACTGCATTGTGGCTTTGATGTCTGTCAAGGTTGTGTTACTTAAATAGCTAACTATGTTTTTGTTGAAGGATTGTGTGGAGTAGAGTTATTCTTGTCTCTTTACGCTCAGATCCTGAAAAACCAAGGAATTTCCGAGTCACTGATTCCAATAGCAGCAGCCTCACTGTGTCGTGGGACTGCCCTCTGAATCAGGAGTACACCTTGTTCACGGTGTCTGTTCTCTACCTGAACTCAACGGGTCATCTCCAGATAGAGGAGTCTTACAGTCATAAAGAGGACAAGCTGGAATTCACCCTCAGCAACCTGCCTCCTTGCAGCAAGCTACAGCTGGCCCTGCAGACAGTGTGTGAAACTGAAGAAACGCGGAGCAGTGAAAAGATCTTTATTGATGGTAATGTGAATGTGTTGCAACGGTGATGAATGTTATTTTCTTCACGGAACTGTTAGTTTGGCCCAGTGAGGTGTCAATATTAATTGCTACCATGTTATATGTGCTTCTGTACTTGATCAATATGATAAAATGTAAAGTGTTACAGCATTGCTTTACAGTAATAAGTTGGTAGTCCTAGAAAGCATTTTACTTGTTTGTGTAACATTATGAAGTTTGAGTAAAGTTTGCAGCAAAATTGGATTATTGGAATATGCTTTGTTAATAAGATCCAGATTTGAATTTCAAATAAAATAGTAGTAATGTAGTAATTCCCTGAAATAGAAAGCATACTGTATACTGGTTCCAATATTTTATAGCTTTGTAATTCACTTTAAAAAAACAATTGACAAGTTTACAATGTATTTTGGTAATGCTCATACGTTGTATTTGTGTATGGTAACGGGTATTGTTTATTCTTCAAATGCATGCAGTAATTTTGTTTCCTTTTCCGCAGCTTATGCTAAACTGGAAGATGTCCGTCAAGTTGCTCACACCAATAGTAGCTACACCCTGATGTGGTCTGTAAGGAACAACTCCTCCATTTCTGCATTCAACGTGTACAATGATGAAATTCTGCAGGGGTCTACCTCACAGAACACCTACACGTTGACTGGAGTACTGCCTTGCCACCAGTACAATGCAACTGTAGAAGCTATCTGTGGAGAGAAAACAGTGATGAGTGTGAAGACCATCCAGGCTGAGACGGGTAACTAACAGATCTGCCAAAGCAGTGGTTCCTGATAGATACTGGCCATAATATGCAGTGACCTTCCATTAAAGGGTCCGTTTCTTCCATTAAATCTTATGAAGGATTGACAATTGAATGGGAATTTTCCTTGTTGTGGGTTTTATAGGCTGTTTCCTTGGCCAATTATTATCATTTCAGTTTTAGAATTGTATGTAATAATATACAAATGACTCTCTCAAATCTTTCTCATGTTGTCATGCCCAGAAATGAAGAAGGCCCCACAGCTGAAATGTTTCTTTTCTTTACCTTTCTGCATCAAGTGCAGATGGAATTAATCTTTTGGCGTGTTTTGACATGTTTGGCTACCTACTCGAATGTTACTATTTAGATGCATCAACAAAACACTTTGTATCTCTTGTTAGTTGGCTCGTGTTATCGATGAATGTGTTTCCAGTCAGGTCCTATAATGACACTAACGTGATGTAAAATGTGACCAATAATTTTTACTTAAGGTCATTAAAAAAACATTTTTGATATAATTGTCATGCTATAATAAGAATAATAGTAGTAAGATCATGGCATATTTTAAGTAGTGTACTCTGTGTATTGGACAGCATTTGTTAGTTTTATATTAGCGTAAATTTTAAATAGATAATTATTTTAAGTTAATTCATGAATACTGTACATTTGTAATTAGTAAGCTACCAGAAATGACAATTATAGCATGTGCACCGACATTACATAAATCAAATAACTCAGTGCTAGTTCTTTATAATGATTAAACAGATCTACTGCCAAAGTCCCAGTCTAGTAGCCTATGTGACTATTAGAAGCAATATAAGCCGTCCATCTGTAACAAACGCTTCGCACTATGTTGCTGTCTTGACAGAATCCGACGAGAGCATTTTTTACTGGCCTTTTTTACTATAGGCCAAAAATGGCTGTTCACTGGTCTAGGGCAGCACATGTGGTCCTGTGACTTGATCAATGTAGTTCTATGCAATTTGGTTGCTATTAATCATTCTATAGCAACTGGACACTCCAAATAAGTGACCGTACATCAAGCGCGGTTTACAAAATCCTTGTTCTTTTGATAAGCAGGGCACATTGGTTTGTTCAGTTTTCAGTTCTTGACTTTTAAAAGGTTAAAAAACGTCATCACCAGTGCCCAATCAGCTGTCACTCCTAAGGTTATTTAGTGTCAACTCGGCAGGTGCTCGCAATTTATCAATGGTTCCAATCAATGTGAAAAATCTATATATTTTATCTTAAAGCATGCATAAATGTTGAGTATCAAAATAAACTAATGTATGCCGCATTTGTGATTTTTTAAATTCTAAATATCCAGAGGATTAAAGTTCCGGTCATCTTTTAAATGGACACGTTTCAGCACTATTCATTTTTATAATTGCATTAATCACATCAGTAGGTGTATCTTTCTTGTAACTCCAGTGGTTTTATGTATTATCTCTACTACCTGCTGTAATATACAGTATGATGTGCATTAATAACGAGGTGATATGCAATGACCGCTTCACACCTCCTTCGACGTAAAGAGGTGAAAAGTGGTCATTGCATAGGAGGAAACATGAGAGTATCTTAACGTTGAAGACCCTTCGATGCAAAGTTTTCTCATGTTTCCTCCTTTCTGATGGCATCAGCATATTTGGCAATAAGACATCTGGCGATTTTTAAATGGCTTGTTACTTGGTACTGTAGATGTGATGTTAAATTTTTTTTTTAACAGAGCCTTTCGTTTCGTTTACTAAAATGATCAGAAATTCTCACAAGTTGCAATGTTTTGCAGGCCCGGGTACAGTAACAGATTTGCAATTCCAGCAGCAGGACTCCAAGGTCCATTGGAAGACTAAGTCTGGGCCCAGGGTGATGTTTGCCTACCAGCTTTATGATGAAAACCGTTCTGTAATTCAGGGTGGGAAGGTGAACAGCACTACTCTGGATCGTTTTGACTTGAATCCCAACACTTCCTATCAGCTTGAGGTATTTGAGGAGTGTTTGGGTGAACATGGCCTTTCGACGTTCTTGGCTTTTATTACAAATGCAGAGGCTAGAGCTTTCCCAAGTTTGGATTTCACTGACGAGCCGGTGTTGGAACCCCCTGGTAGCATTGTGGCTGCAACAAAGCCCTCTCCTGATGCTGATGCCCCAGCTGATCTGATAGGCGCAGTGTCTGGGGTTCCCCCAGACTTGGAAAGGGAGACTGAACCCCCATCAGTGGTTGCGAAAACTCCGGAGACAGCAGAGGCAGATGATCTTGCGGAAGCCATCGGTACTGTCTTAGTGATAACTGCATTGGATCCAGAAGCAGATGAATCCCCATTGCAACAGATCACACCCACTCAGAGAAAATTCCCACCTACCCCATTCGATCCCGAATCTCTTGTGCCCATGAACAAAACCGAAGCATTAACTCCACCTGCCCAAGCAAGAACCACATCTGTGCCTTCAAAAGTCACGCCTATTCTTGCAACAGTCATACCCAGCCAGAAGGTGGTCACACCTGCTCAAGGTTTGTGATTTGTATTTTTATGTTGTATAATTAAGAATACCAAAACTTCACTCTAGGATTATTGAAAGGCATTTGTATTTTTGTAAAGATCTAGAATCTGATGTTCCGTCATCCCTTGCCATTGTTGTGCCATGGGTATTGCCAACTTATCTTCAGACTTTGTCATCTAAACCCAGAATTGAATTGGAGCAAGCGGTCAAAAATCAAGTAAGTAAAGCTTAATTGTGTGAAATATCCATCATATCCTGTGAAATATCCACTGATGTATCCATATATTTTCAGTTGAAGGATGTCTTAAAGAAATATCACCCAATAGAAGTTGAATTGGTCATGTTTAAGTCGGATGAAGATAAAACTAAGATCACTTTCAAAGTCTACAACATTTCCAACAAAGAGGCTAAAGAGCAACTGTCTGTCACTGAACTATCCAATTACATACAGGCCCTCAACTACCCTAACATCACAGTGAAAGATGGTATTATTTTCTGGAATGGTAAGTGTGCTTTCTGTCTGCTAAAGTGTTTTTTTTTTTTAAAGACTGTAACAAATATAATGAATATGCATCACATACAGGAATGTCAGACATTGTCATACATTAGATATTGTGTGTAGTTAAATAGAAATAGTCCTTTAAACTTGTATATTGTGCATGCAAAAATTGACTTAAATTTTACTTTTTCTTAGTGACCTTAATTGATTCATATGCCAGATGTCTTTTCTAACCTTTTTTATGTTATTTCCCCAGAAATGATTTTCATTATAGTCTTCTCTTCCTGCACACAGATACGGATGAATGTGCTTCCCCTGTCCTGAATGAGTGCAGTAAAAATTCTTACTGTATTAATACTCTGAGTTTCTTCACCTGTGTCTGCCACGAAGGATATTATGATGTCAGCGGTGCGTTCAGCCCTGCTGTGCACTCTGCCTGTGATGGTAGGCCTACTGTGGAACTAGTGCAGTTGTAAAAAGTGTCCTGTGGTAACAGCTGTGCATCCCTGATGCAAAAAAAATAAACTGACATTTCTCTGCTGTAGCCTGAACACAAAAAACAACTAAGTGCAAATTGATCATTTATACTTTGGTTTACAGAGGCTGGGATGTTTACTCGTTGTGATGTTGGCCACATAAAAGCTGGGATTTCTAAGGAGTTTTTAAGGAATCGTTTCAGTGGTGAAGTGAGTGTCGTTTTGAACGATGGGAGCTGCCAGGCTAAAGAGAATGAAAATTATTACTCCTACTCCATAACAAGCAATCACAGCTACTGTGGGGCTACAGTTCTGGCAAGTATCCCATGATTTTTGTTCCTTAATTTTATATTGTTATAATGATTTTATATACATATTAACTTATACATCCAAGGGGAAGTTTTTATTTGTACAATAGCTGAATGAAACAATCCTGTTTAGCCTGGCTTAAGCCTGAGACTACTATAATTAAAGGGCCACTATTGAATTATTGTGGAGGCAGAAACTAGCTGCAGGTCACTGGTGATCACATGGCCAGTACATGTGGACATAAAACCCATCCTCTGTCTTGAGCAGAATCCAGTCAAACATACCTGACAGAATTTGAGTTGGATTGTAAATGTACTAAATGTTTGCCTCCTGTTCAGATAGAATTGCCTTTGTGCCTCATTTTAAAGTGTGAGCAACTCTTTGTGATCTTAATTTGGATAACAGACCACTTTACTTGTATACTCCAAGGCAGTTTTTAATCTTTGTTTTCACACTTGATTTAGAATGGCCAAATTATGAATTTACATTAAAGAACTCAATCCTTTAGTCTAACGCATGAGTCCTGTTTTATGAATCTTAACTGAATGGTTCTCAAATAATTTGACGTTTTGTCATTTTTGAATAGGTGAATGAAACCCATATCATGTTTAAAAATGTTCTTCACGTGACTGCTGGTAAAGATAAAGTGATCACTAGAAGGGACCTTCAGGTGGTATGGAAATGTGTCTACACCAGAGAATACCTTCGTCACACACACATGGGAGAGGATCTCTTGGACTGGTGAGGAAAAGGCAGTACTTTTGACAATCGTTTGTCTTGACTCCAAGATACAGCAGTGCGTTTTTAGTTACTCTGCAGTCAAGGGACTCGGGTTCAGTTAAATTATGGCTTATGGCTTGTGTAAAGCCATAAAAAGTCATTCTTAAGTTGTCCGGCTTTTATGTGGAGTGTGGGAAGGATTTTTGGTAGGATAGGACTTTATTTGCTAATGGAATTCTTGCTCCTTTCTTTTCTGGGAAAATCAAGTCTGTAGCTTTTCACTGTGAGTACATTTCTATTCATTTTTCTGTTCCTTTTAAAATTTATCAGGTTAACTTCAAGCAGTTGCATTTCACTTCAAATGTACGCACATGCCCACTGCAACTCCACACTTTACTGTAAATGTAATACTTTTGAAGCTTTTTTTAACTAACATTAAGATCTAATGTTTTTAATTTAGCAATTGTAAGATTAATACTTCTACACAGTTATAAATTTAAAATGCTGTATGCAGTAAACTTGTTTATTGGTTCTGATTTTCCTGCTAAAAAAGTCTAACCTTATAGACGGGTTAGCACAGTTTAATACCTTTTCCCAACATTTGAGATGATCAGTTTTTATAAATGCATATTTTCATATACCACATCAAGCCCAAATGTTTCTTTCCTTTCAAGGCATCAGTCCTTGATCCTAATCCAGTACAACACCAGCCGGATTTTGGAACTCCGTATGACTCTACACGACAATGATTCTTTTAAGTCCAACAACTCGATCCCGATGGAATTCAGCTCGGACACTCACCTCTTTTTTGAGGTGACCCTTCATTCACAGGACACCTTTGCCTTTGACTTTGTTTTGGAGGTGGTCTCCTGTTGGGTAACGGAGACCTCCAACCCAAAGGGAACACCGAAGGTATTCTTCTTGAATGAAAGGTGAGCACATACAGTACAGTCCTGCTGTAGAGTGATGTGCCTGATACCACACATGATTCATTGAAGTACCCATTGTTGCATGAGCTAGTGCAAATTTAATAATTTGATATAGGTCTTTGTTTTTAAAACATGTTTTTCCATCGCTGACCTAGGATGTACACTAAATTGAGCTGTGAACATTGTATTTACTGTATGTCAGTCATTTGTACGGCACTGGTTGATTATTGAAACAACTGCCAGACCACGAAATTATTAGTGCCAGTTTTGTGTGCTTTTTAGTTGCTGACCTGTTGCATGTCTGATCTGTTATTCGTATAATAGATAAAGGATCATCGATGGCTAATATTTCCTAGATTTAATTTGGAAGTAGAGGGTTTTTGACAAATGCAACAGCATGTACAGTAGCATTATGGATAACTACAGCTCAGCTTAGGTATTGTCCAGTTTTTTCTAATTGTCCCCATTTAATGTTTTCAAACCTATACATTTAATCTACTGTACTTGGTTTCAAGGCCTCTTATAAACCTGTATTCTGTAAAAGTTTGCCCTTGAGGCTTATTTAGAAATGGCTTCTCTCACCTACATGAAATGCCTCTGTAATTGTAGGACTCTGACAATGGGAGCAATGGTCATGTGGGGTTTCTAGAGTTTTTTCACTTGCGAGATGAGAGTTGACTTCAACCTTCATAAATAAGCTCTTTCACTGGTCTCGAAAATGTTGCGGTGCACCTTAAATGTAAAAGTTTTTTTTTTTAAAAACTTGAAAAAATACAGGAACATTGTGTAATACATAGAGGATCTGTAATGTCATATCTATGAGGAATTCCCATTTTTGCACTTTAAGGCCATATATTGTAAATTATATTTTTTTTTCCCCAGTTGTCCTGTTGACGAGACCTTTCGGTGGTATACAGCTAATGGATTACAACAGAAGAGCCGGTTTTCAGTACAGATGTTTACTGTCACTCCAAAGAAACCCATCTATGTGCACTGCTTAACAAAAATATGCACCCAGCAGGAAAAGGAAAACTGCTCAATGGTATTTTTTTTCTTTCCAATAGCACTAAATTACAATAAGTTTTCTTTTTACACCACTGCAGCTTGTGTATAAGTTACCAGAAAATATTAAGAGTATGCCCCCTCCATTTCATTCTTAAAAATCTTTGACAGGTCTGTCCTGCAAGGAGAACAGACAAAAGAAGAAGAGAACTTAAAAACAGATTGCTAACGGCAGTTCTGTCAGCTGGGCCCATCATTGTCGGGGATCATGCCACGATGTCTGAGGCAAAACGATCAGATTGTAAGTAACTGAACCAAAAGAACTTCACATTGCTCGCTTTAGTATTTTTTTTTTTTTACCAGTATGGTATTGAAATCTCCAGCACACAGGACCCTCACAAAAAAAAATTAAAGAATCTAATCTCTCTGTGGCTACTGTAGGTGCAGCTTCTGCTCCAAAAGTAAAATCGACCACTGTTACAGAGAGAATCTTAATTCTTAATTCACCATGGGGCAGTGCAGTGTCTCTGTGGCTATGGATCTGCGCCTGTCGCTGGAAGGTAGCCAGTTCGTATTCCATGGCCGGCAGAGGAATCCTACTCCGTTGGGCCCCTGAGCAAGAGCCTTAACCCCAACTGCTCCAGGGACGCCGTATAAATAGCTGACCCCAAGCTTCTCTCCCTGTCTGTGTCTCATGGAGAGTAAGTTTGGGTAGGCAAAAAGACAAATCCCTAATACAAGAAATTGTTTATGGCCAATAAAGTGATCTCCTAATGTGGTGCTCAACTTGGTTGGTCTGTGCCTGGTTTCTGTTCGTGTGTTCTCAATCAGATTACTAATAGATACTGCCGTCTTTGTGACTAGTGAGAAAACCATTGAAAAATGTAGTCCATTAGATTCACTGATGGGCATCATGGGGTCTGCAGTGTTAAGTACTGAATGTATGTATTCTGGAGGTGCTTGGCAGTCTGAGAAATCTGGAAATATCTAAAAGATGTAATGGGTACCAGTTTTATTTGTAACCACTAGATGTCAATGTTGGTTCATTTGGCATAAGATATTAATAGAGACAAACCATTCTTTTTTGAGTGCTCAAGCCATAAATTTACTTTGAAATCATTTACACATTTTTATAGCTGATGTTTTTTATATCTGCAATTTAAACTATGCTTCCTGAAGAATGCCTGGAAATTTAGTTTGATGTACTTTAATGTAGGAGATTAAAGGAGGATAAATTCTTTCTTTCTTCAGTGAAACATTTGCTGTTCTCTCCTATCATACTGAAGTCTCTCAAGTGTTCATGGCATTCTGTCATGTTCTTTAACCTGAACCTTCATGTTTTCTCACAGGGCATCAGCTTCTAAATGTGATGACAATCATTGGAGGAACAACAGGCTTCCTGTTTTTGACCTTGCTGGGCATGAATGCAATAAAGTGCATTTTAAAATGCAGTGAAAAACATCAAGAAAGGATTCAATGATAATACTCCTTTCCTTCCTCTTAGTTCTTATAGAACTTTTATAAAATTTGTTTCTGTTCTGAAAAACAAATCCAAAAGTACCTAATGGACTACTTTTTGAAGTACAGTGTGGTGCTGGATGTACCTAGTAGAGCTGGTGTGGAATCTGCCAACACTGGAAGACAACTTGTGACTTGTCTTCAGTGTCCAGGATTTGTACTTGTTTTTCCAGGTGTTATACATCTAAAATTGTTACTAATAAACCTACTGAATTCTTGATTATTGCAGATTGGTGTATTTAATTAAAACAGATTTTGACATGTACAAAATATAACATTTTTACACCAGATATTTTTTATACTGCACATTAAACGAGAACAATGCAATTGTCTTTAAACACAATTTCAATGGGCTGACATGCTGTTAGTGTAAACTTCTGTAAACCGTGACGTTCTTGTAAAAGGAAAGCACACCAAAGTCTGGAGACATTTCCACAAGGAGCCAATGCAAGGAAGCTACAACATGAGCCAATTTATACTGTACATTTTACTCATCCTCAAATCGGGCTGCTTGAGTTTAATATACTGCGACCGATTTAAGACAGCCTTATCAAAGAAAGCAATGGCATTAAGCTTGTAGAAAAGCAGCTCCTCTGTATCAGACTAAAGATTTAACCTTATGATTTACATTTAGTTTTTCGTTCAATTAAATGTTTGAGTAATTTTAATAATCCTTAGTGATCAAGACTATTTTCAAGTTCAAGTTTGTCATTCCAGCCATATACTATACAAGTATACAGAGGAGTGAGATCGTTCTCCAGGTCTATGGTACAAATAGACGAGAATGCTATAGACAATGCTGACGTAGACATTTTCTGACAGGTTACATAAAGTGCAATGTGGATAGTGCAATTCACTTTACAGGATTGTACAAAGAATACATCAGACAGTATGCCTGACATTAGACAAAAAATAACTAAGTTTCCAGATCTGGAGTAGGTGCAGTAGGTACCAGGGTGTTGAGGAGCCTGACAGCCTGTGGGGAAAAAAGTGGTTGCAGAGTCTGGTGGAGCTGGCCCCTATACTGCGATGCCTTTTACCAGATGGTAGGAGGGCAAAGAGGTTGCAGGAGGGGTAGGGGGGATCATCCACAAACCTGGAAGCTTTGTGCGCGCAGCGTTTGTGGAATATGTCCTGAATGGATGGAAGGGAGGCTCCAATGATGTTTCCTGCTGTATTGACAGTTCGTTGCAAGGACTTGCGGTCTGTGACCTTACAATTCCCAAACAATGATAGTTTGTCAAGATGCTCTCGATAGTACCTCTATAGAATGTGGATAGTATCATGGAGGGGAAGTTTGCCCTTCTCAGTTGCGGCAGGAAGTGGAGACATTGTGCTTTTTTGTTGAAGCACCAGGCTGCTAGTTGCTCCACCTCCTCTCTTTATGGTGCCTCATCGTTGTTACTAATGAGGCCCAACACTGTCGTGTCATCAGCAAACTTGATGTAATTTGCATTGTGCTTAGCAGTGCAGTCATGAGTCATCAGCGTGAACAGGAGCAGGCTAAGTACACAGCCCTGGGGGATTATGGTGTTCAGTATGGTGGTACTAGACATGTTGATTCCTATCTGGACTATCTGAGGTCTCTTGGTCAGAAAGTCCAGAATTTAGTTGCAGAGGGAGGTGTTGAGATTCAGCAAGCTCAGTTTTTCTATCAGTTTCTGGGGAATGATTGTGTTGAATGCTGAACTGAAGTCAATGAACAGCATTCTTACATAAGTGTCCCTCTTATCAGGGCAAGGTGAAGGGCAAGGGATACGGTATCATCGGTAGACCGGTTGGGACGATATGCAACCTGGAGGGGGCCCAGAGAGGTGGGCAGTCTGGACTTAATGTGGCCCATGACTAGCCTTTTGAAGCACTTCATGATAATTGGTGTGAGTGCCATTGGGCGATAGTCATTGAGATACGACACATTAGTCTTCTTCTGGGCTGGTATAATTATGGTGGTCTTGAACCATACAGGGATGACTGCCTGGCACAGGGAGATACAGTATTAAAAACGTCTGTAAAAACATCAGCTAACTTTTGCTAGTGTCTTCCTCCCATCAACTGCGAACATGCATTAATAGACAAACTATTTCAAGTTAGGATTAAGATTAGTGATTTGTATTTTTTAACTTCACTGGTTAAGGTGTTAATGATCCAAGTCTTAAGGGTGATGGTTGTAGTGTGAATGAAGTACAATATTTTAATTTGTATCATGAGGTCTATAGTTATATGGCAAGGTTTAGAGTAGTTTGTGTAATGTTGTTATGATCATAATTGGGCTACAGTCATTTATGAAGGCCCTATATTAGAGCAGAAAAATGCAAACGAAAATCGTGTAAATTGTGATGTTCATTAAATGCAGAATAATGAAAAATTTATGTACCTGTTTGGGTGTTGAGTATGTAGATAGAACACCCTAGGAGTGGTTGTGAACCAGTGCTTTTGGAGTCCTGGTTCCCGCAGTCTGACAAGGGCATCTGCAGTAACCATTTGTAGTTTTGTATAAAACGAATATTCCTACTCGTATATTTTCTAAAAACAAATGTTTCGTTTGAGTAATTGTTGTTATTTAGGTTATGAATTTAAATTTTGATTTTATAACAGAAGTAGGTGACCAACTTGATCAGGAGTCTGCAGTCTACAAAAGCTAAGACCTTTATCGACGAGGCAAACATAAACTAAATTTATTTTTCTATGTCTCTTGAGTGAATTCCACCCAAAGCAAAACCCCTCTTTTTGAAGTGCCAAGCATCATTGTCGTTTTAATCAATTTAGATGTTTGTGATTTGTACGGAAAATGATATAAAGCGTTTATATCCTGAATGTTTCAAATACACCTACAGTGAGTACTTCATTTTATTTGACTTTCTATTATTCCTAAAAACAATATTTCTAATTTCTACAGTTAAAGTGGTTTAAGAGGGATACTTCTATTCAAAAATGTAATTTTAATTTGCTCGGTAAGAAAGTTACAAATGTGTTGCTCCTCACGGATTGTTTACGCAGATGCACAGTTATTTTTCTGTCTGCCACGTGATTCAGCGGTGAAAGGTTAGTGCAGTCATGGCGTCTTCCACAGAAGGAGCAAGCGTGAGTGAAACGCCGAGCAAGAAGAAATACAAAAACAAACAAAATGAAGGTAATAAACCATAAATTCAGTATAAAACCGGTCATAACTTTAGGAAGCTATACATTTGCAACGTTCCAGTGTGATTGGCAATGCTATTAGTTATCTTAGGACAGTATTGGATATCTGAGAATTCTGTTGTAAATGCTAACTTTCCCATCTGTTTTGAAGTATTTTTTAAAAGTATCTACCAATAATATTGTAGTAACAGTGGTTCATATCGTTGTAGATACGTGGTGTAGAACTAGTACATACAAATCTTTTTTGATGAAACCATTTCTTAACAAAACGCACCTATACAAAAATAGAAATCAAGATATAACTTCTGTGAAAGTTTGCACTGAATTTAAGAACTAGGTATTCGCTGTACTTATCCATCGTACGCAGCTTAAGACATTGAGAAACATCACAGGTAGGCTTTCAAGGATTTTCGAAAAAACCTGAAGATATACAGTATGTAGACGGAATACGAAAGTCTCTGGAACAGAGGTAAACGTGGAATGTTATTTGGGACATCTGGAACAACATTCAGAATCAGGCAAAAAAAAGTAAACAAGCAGCGTTAAGGGAGGATTGCTAGCTGTTAGAAATAATACAGATGATTTAACTTTAAAAAACAGAGCATTTCTAGTTTTTGTTTCCAGTTTTCAATAGTTGAGTAGCTTCTGAAATTCATAGGGCCTGTTTGTTGTGTTAAAATTGTATCAGCTTAGTAGTAATGTTGCTGTTGTTACTGCAGGTTTTAGTATCTGAATAGTAAATGTCCAGAAGCTTAAGTGTCTTGTTTGTCAACTTCTTGAATTTATGATTTATTTGTTGTTGTTTTTTTGGGGTCTTGAATGAGCAGTTGATGAGTCTGAGCTTCTGACAGTTCCTGAGGGATGGAAGGACATCCCATTTACCAAAGAGGACAATCCGAAGGGTTTGTTGGAGGAAAGCAGTTTTGCCACTCTGTTCCCCAAATATAGAGAAGCTTACTTAAAGGAGTGTTGGCCTCTTGTGCAGAAAGCACTAAACGACTCTGTAAGTTAATTTAAAAAACAATATATTTTAGAATATATCCAGTGCCTATGTTGGCTTAAGGTGCAGTGTCCAACAGATTTTTAAAAAAAATACTAGATGCCTTTCATATTGATCACTGTAACATGACGTGTTTGTTGGAAAGGAGAATATTAGCTTCAGTTCTTAAAAGAGAAATACAGAAATGTTGGTTATGGAGGTAATGACTGCGTAGATGATGGGTCATTATAACATTAAATTAATACAATTTTAATCATTAACATTGGGAACTGAAAATGAAGATCTAAAAATAAATAATAAATAATGCTATTTATTTTTTTCTTCAACACTTTTTTCACCTTTGTTTCCTGCTGTGAAGTCAGTTCCTGGTGTTTGTACCAATGTATGAAGTAATGAAGCTTTTATGTGCTACTGTGCAATATGTACTATAATAAAATAGTTACCATTTGAATTACAGTTTGCAAAAATATGGAACATTTTTATTTGATGACCTTGTGCTGTTTTTATATTTTAATTTTATAGCTGAGTTAAAAATGCTTAATACTGTAGTGTACTTGTATTCTAGAATTGTAGCTGCATCTTTTTTTCTTGTTTTATCATGGGAATTTAAGTGGTACCAGGCACCAGTTACATGTTGTTTTTCCATTTCTGTTTGTGAAAACATGGAATCCAACAGTCTAAATAATTTTATTTGGTGGTAGTACTGTATGTGCATGTAAAAGTTTTTTACTTTGCATATTTTACTTTTATGAGCTACCAAAAAGTATTGGAAAAGATAATGATGATTGTGTGTATTTTAAAGTTCTACAATTGCCTCAGAAAATATCCTTTGCTTTAATGGTACTTTGTTTCTCATGTGTTTTATATTTCTTTTCCTTTCTTCAGTACATCAAAGCAACCCTAGACTTGATTGAGGGTAGTGTGACAGTCAGCACCACAAAAAAGACATTTGATCCATACGCCATTATAAGGGCTAGAGATCTGATAAAACTGCTTGCAAGAAGCGTTCCATTTGATCAGGTATGTATTGTGGTACATTTACGGTATACCACCAATAAACACAAGTATCTATTCTAGAATTACTTTGATATTTTGTAGCCCAAAAGTTAAAGTTTGGGATCTGTCTGAAAAATATTTTCATTCTAGGACTAAAGTGTGAGTTTTGTCTTTAGTCCTAAACATTTCATATACGATAGGTTCACTTGTGGATGAGTGAAAAATATCATAGGTAATGCTAGGTAACTGCTGAAATAGACGTTAAATATGTCTAAGCCCATGTAGGTTCAAGTCTGCCATTTTTCCAAGAGTTGACTGTAAATAGAATGTAGGTTAGATCAAAACTGCGTCCCTTGTAAATGGGGGTATTTGAAAGTACTGTATAAAACCATCTTGAGTCTAATTAATTTGATTTTACTAGTGGTTAAATGATGGGTAAGCCACTAAATTTCAAATTCCACATTTAATTGACAGCTGTTTTCCTGATCTGTCCACCTAATGATTGTTTGCTATAGGCTGTGCGAATTCTTCAGGATGATGTGGCCTGCGACATCATCAAAATTGGGACTTTAGTCAGAAACAGAGAAATATATGTGAAGAGGAGAGAGAGACTGATAGGACCAAAAGGATCAACTCTTAAGGTAAGCATCACAAGGTGTCATAAAGAATCCATGCGTTGTGGTTTTAGCTACATTTTTGTATTTCACTCGCTGGCACTGTTATTAAATAAACAGTCCTGTAAAGCCCAGTACTCAGGCCACTGTTTCCCTCGTTGTTCTTTGATGCCTTATTTTAGTTGGAGAAAAGTATGACTTTTACTTTTTTTTAAAAGACCAAGAATTAAACATCAAAGGCCAGTGATGTATTTTTGGAGAGCTTATCTAGATTGTCCCTGTGTGCTTGTGTGGGTGTGCACTGCAGGGTTCTGGTCTCCCATCCAGGATGCCCTGCCTTGTGTCCTATGCTCCCATGATAGGCTGATAAGTTTTCATTTTGTTTCTGTAAAAACTTAACTCTTTATAATTTTCTTCTTCCTTTCTGTAATATCAGACATTGTGTAGTTTTGATGACAGCATTTCAGAAGTTGGTGCTTGAATTACCTTCATCAGCATATATTAAATCATTCTGCATGTTTTTAATTACAGTTTGTTTGTAACATCATAAAATGGAATATAGTGTGGTCTTATGCTGTTTTTGTGTACATCACAAAACTTTTATCTCAAACAGGATGAAGCTGGTCCCTGTTGCCTATTTCAGTTCTAAACTGCCCAAAAGCTATAAAATTTAATATGGGGAGAGTCTTTAGTTTTTCTGTGATTTAAGTGTGTTAGACTTTCCAGTGGTAAATTTCAAGTTTCCTTTATTTTTCATGACAGCATATTGTATGTATTGTCTGACTGTAGGTTTTGGAAGCATCTTATAGATTGTTTTGTGGTTATTTTTAATTTTGTTCTCTTGTCTTGGAGAGATCCATAGCATCACAAGAGATTTTAAATATATTTAAAATGTATACAGTCCAATAAAGTTTGCCAGCATTGGACTGTAATATAAATAAAAATATAAGGAATTTGTGGGCAAGACAACTGTTCACCCTAAAACAATCTCAACATAGAGTACACCTATTAGTATTGAAACTCAGCAGGACATAGCAGTTGTATCTTGTACCTCTGTTAGTGCACATGGTCTATTGCACTGCACATCTTTGTAGCCCACAGGTTCCGGTCTTAGTGTGTCAATGCAGTGACCAGTCCAAGAAGGTGTTCGGTCTTGTTGTCACACATGAAGAAATGATTGCATATTTAGATGATTGCATATGAGAAGCTGAGTGACCAGGGAGCTGATTTGTATTTGCATTTATTCCCAGATGAGTCCACTGCTACCTACTTGTCTTTTTCTGGGGTTTTGTTCTCAGTATATCTCTCACCACTGCCTCTCTACCCATGTTAAGGCATCTTGCTTTGTTGAGCTGAGCTAGTACCATTTGTTGTTGACTCAAACAAATGTGGTTGTGTGTCCATGTCTCTGTTCTGTGCGATCAGACTAAAATTGTGTAGATGTTTGTTTTAACTATGGAGAAATTAGATACCTATGGCTTCCACCATGCAATGTGGAGACTTGTAGAAATTACTTCATCATATTGCAGAGTAGAGCTTCTTATACTAGTGATTATCTTGTGTGGTGGTAACTTTTCAATGACTAGTTTCTTGGTCTTTTGTTCTCATTTGGTCCCTACTTGACCATTATAATTGGTCAGGTAATGTGTCCTCTTGAAAATGAAGTGATGGCATAGTTCTATTATGATCCCAAGCTGTTGACATACAGGCCTTTGTCTAGATAAGGTGATGTTGAACACTTCTCCATCTTCATTAGTGTATCACCTTGCAAGATGAAATGTGCTTCTTCAAGACTACCTTTAGAACCCTAATCAACTCAAAACCTAATGAATTAGGCCATCCTAAGGCACTAAACGTTACTATAAGACCTCTACAGTCAAGCGTGGCTTGATTTAAATAATTGCTTACTCAAAGATTGCTCCAGAGTTTGTGTACATTCCATTTACTGCTCATCAAAAGCCTGTTTTGTGGTGGGTTTGTTAATTTGTTTAGTTAGAAATAATATTGGACATTCATTGTATCAAAGAAAATACAAAGCAGAAAAAAGGAACTGCTTTGAAAATGCATTTCATTAATATTGTTTGCTGTCTTATTTGTGTAAGTCTCTGCCTGGTAAAGAATGGCATATGAACAATAGAGCAAAAACGGCAATTAATCATTTTCTAATAAGTGGAAATGCCAAAACAATCAGTATGTAACAGTTTGAAAGAAAGGCGGACTTGGCACAAGAAACTATTTATATAAAATGTCTATTTTCTGAGCTGCCTTGTTCTTTCATGTACTGATTTAGCATCAGACTAAAGATAAGGGGGTGTTACCCTCAATGTGTGGAAAGACCTTGCCATTTTCAGAAAGTTACTATTTATACACATTCTTATCATGTTTTTCAGAGTTTTTTTTTCTTCTTTCCTTTAGGCTCTTGAGCTTTTGACAAACTGTTACATTATGGTACAGGGGAACACAGTGTCTGCCCTGGGACCTTACAATGGCTTGAAGGAAGTGAGTACAGCTTGCCATAACAAGTTGTTTTAAGAAACTGCTGTGTTGTGTTTCATTAATCAGTTTTACTTTGCCTTCTAGGTCAGAAAGGTTGTTTTGGATACAATGAAGAATATACATCCAATATATAACATTAAGGTATGTCCTTCTGTCGTTGTAACTCAGCCTGTTACTTTGTATGGCTCCCTTTTCACTTGGAAATCTGTGTGGAATAATTGTGGAGATGTAGATTCATGTGCATATACACCTTAATAGAGTATTGTGTACATCTGAATACGTGCAGCTAATGAGAGACAAGTGAGATAAAAACAGGAAATGAACTGTTTGAATCATTGAAACCGCTTCCTATTTTTTTCTAACGTTCTGTATTTGTCCTCCAAATAATGCCTTACAAATTACTGTAAGTTACACAATCACTCTTCATGACCTAGGTCATAATCATTGTCTGTCTATATCTTTATCTGTGAGTTAGAGTGATAGCCAGGAACTTTTTAATAATACATTGAATGGCATATTACTCGGTGTGCCTGTTTTATCTAATAAATACACAATGTAGTGACATGAGGTCACTATCAACACTGGTAATCCATCCTTGAACTTGGCCTGTGATGTCCACGCTGCTTTTCTTTCGAATGACAACCTGCGTACTCAGTGACGGGTTTTTTTTCATTGCCGTTTTTTAAGACTTTGATGATCAAACGGGAGCTCGCCAAGGACCCTGAGCTGCGTACACAGAGCTGGGAGAGGTTCCTGCCCCACTTCAAGCACAAAAATTTGAGCAAACGGAAACAGCCCAAGAAGAAGACAGTGAAGAAAGAGTACACACCCTTCCCTCCAGCTCCACCAGAGAGTCAGGTCTGTGCCCCATTGCTGCAGAGGAAGAGCCCCTTATACACCAACAGAAGTACAAAACTAAAAAGTCTTGTAGTCTGAATTATAAAGTGGTAGGCAAAAGTCGCCTTACTATAAGGAAGCGCCAGACTGTATCGGGAACTATAAAACTTTATTTAAGAGGCATCTGCAAATAGACTGTCCTCACAACAGCAAGGCTGCTCTGTGCAAACAAAGACAAGGAAAGCACCCTACTTAAATTCTTCATAACTCATCATATTCCTAGCTGGTCCAGCCAATCACTGGCCACTTGATATAGAATATTACCAAAACACATTGTTTTTGTATGCTAAACCATCAACGCTGCATGCAGTTTGTAGAGATAATTCTGCATCAGGCCTAGAATGAAGTGCCAGTACTGGAGAAAACTTTGACATCCGAAAGAAATTGCAACATACATCTGAGACTGCAATCAAGATGTCTCGCGCAGAACAGCGATTAAAAATATTCCTCCAATATCCTGGCAGTCACAGAAAGAAAATATTCAATTTAACTCTTTACATTCCTTCCTAAGATGGCTAAATCAAAGGAAATCATCACTGCTCAACAACAGGAAGATGTTCCCAGGTTCCTTTTTAAACCTTGCTGAAAAAAAGTTAAACCATTAAACACTTAAATCTTTTTGAATGATTGATTAAAAAACCTCTGCGATTGTCTTTGATTGCATGATGTGATTGTCAACAGGTTGATAAGGAATTGGCAAGTGGCGAGTTCTTCCTCCGGCAAAGTCAAAAGAAACGGAAGAAGATGGAAGAAGTTAAGGTGGGCATTTTTTCAGGGGGTTTCTGATTAGCATTATAGTGCTTGTGTGAATATAAACTTTTCAGTCAGCTAGGGTTTTTTTTTATAAGTGCTTGATAGTAGATGAAGCATCTTTGTATGCAGTGTTTTGATGTGTGGTTCACTCATTGTTTGTGACTAATCTCTCTTTATGCCTTCATTGCTATTAATTTGGTTATTGCCACATATAATGTAACTGTAGTAAAAGTATATGGAGCATTGTAGTATTTTGTTATGCTGTTGCTTTTATATATTTATTATGGGAGAGCTGTTAAGGATAGATGGGACAAATAAAAAAGGGATGTGCAAGTAGAGAATGGATATACCTCTGCTGTGAGGAATTGATTTATTTGAGGCAGCAGTATGGAGCAGTGATTAGGGCTCTAGACTTGTAACTCGGGGTTAAAGTTCAAATCAAGGTCCCATCCTCACATTCCTTCAGAAAAATTACCTGCTGTATAATTAAGTATCTATTAAAAATAGTTCTCAGTTGGCCTATCTGTTTAAATAATTGTTTTCTGTGCATTATAGGTTCTGCGTACCATTTTGTGCTGATGCCAAGATTCTCAAACTTGGGTCAGGTTTCTTAGTCAATAACTTGCACATTTTTTGTCCAAGGTGAAACAAGCTGAAGCTTTAAGCAAGAAGCAAGAAGAAAGAAAGAAAGCCTTTATTCCTCCCAAAGAAAAGCCTGTTGTGAAAGTGAAAAAAGGTATGCCATCCTTGCAAGTAAAGCTCATGAAATTGTGGTACACTCTTAGAATGGCTGGCTAGTCATATGTCTGACTAATTCAAACACCACTTCCATGTCCAGCATAATAAAGAAGCTTTCATTTGAGGTTGTGGGTTATTTAAAAGTACAATAATAAAATATTCAAAGTTCAGTGTAGGCTTTAGCATTAAATGTGATTGTGATTCTTAAGATTGAACTGCTCAGCTGTATGTCATTTCACATTTCAGATATAAATTGAGAAACCCGCTGTAAAAATATTCTGATTTGTGGTTTCTCTTACTGTGAAGTGCTAAATCTGACATTTAAAAATTCTTCTTCTTATGGACTGTAACACGTCTCAGATTGTGAATCATTATGCCCCAAAATTAATGTAACCACCGCGCAATACGTTACTGATCCAACCAAGGGATCGAGGTGTTATTGCTGACTTTAAATGCAGGAACATTTTAAAAGAAAAAGAAAAAACTGCACTAAAGTAGTGAACGATTTTGATTTTGTTGGTTTCAATGAGATCACAATTTGAAAAGAGTTGATGCTTTTCAATGTGTTTTTTATGGGTTTTAGTTGCATTAAATGTATAGCTGTGTCTGAACTGTTTGTTGGGTACATATCTTGTATGTATAGCAATTCCCTTTTGAGTCAGTTTGCTATAAGTTGCATTATTTAGGAGTGTAAACTGGAGTTCTAACAAGACCTTCTGTGCTGTATTTGGAACTCAATTTAACTTATGGTCCCCTAAACCAACTCCATTCCATTAATTCTAATGGGAAAAGCCTTCCGCTTTACGTTACATAAGCATAGTTTATGGTCTTAAGGTCTCAAAACCTTCATGTTTACATTTTGTATGGGGAAAATGTCTCCTTTGTACACTGTTTCACTATATGTTGACTTGCTGTTCCCTAACTCCCATGTACAGTACCTCGTGGACCACCTGTATAGAGTGTCCCATTAAAGATTTATATTTTTGACCTTCTATTTTGAAGATAAGAGAACAAGGTTGTTAAAAGAATATTTCAGATTTTCTCTTTTTGGCATGTATTTATGTTTTCTTGAAGGTTTATTCTTTGTCATCCGTGGGCAACTATCCCATTTTGGCGTCAAATACTAAATTGTTTCTTGTACAAACTTTTCTTTTTCATTTGTAGCTCCTAAGGAAACTAAAATCGATGTTGAAGCTATCAAGGAAAAAGTTAAGAAGGCAAAGCATAAGAAGCTTGGAGCTCCCCCGACTAACCCAGATCTGCCCTCATCCTCTGCCTCTGAAAAGAAAAAAAAGAAAAAAGCCTGAACTGGCTTTCCGTAAGAACTTTCTGAGAAATCTTGGTCTCCTGTAGCCTTAGCTGTGTTCTATGCTGACACTGGCTGTATTTTTTATAACTCCATCTAATTTATAATAAAATCACATCATATAACCAAGGTTTTTTAAGCATTTATTTCACTAACAACTGCAAAGTCTGATTTTATTGTATTATAAGGACTGTAGTTTTTTATAATAAGTTTGTGATATACAAAAATCTGCTTTGAAGTTTCTAATATTTCTCCACAAATGTAAAAAATCAGAAAAGCAAAGACTGCCACACTAGATTATTCTGTTATTTACCATTCTGAGGTGTATCACGTGGCAATTGTTAATAACTGCAATAAAATGACTAGCTTATAGGTGTCGTAAAAAAAAGCCAATTTAAAGATGAGCCTTGTATTTTGTATACATTACAGTATAGTTAAAATGCATCATATGTCATTGTATGGGCTTGGAAGACTTCTTGGTTTGCAAATTTGAAATTCTGCATTACAAACTATTAAATTAAGTTATAATTAAATATTGCCAAATGTAATCTATTAAATTTGAATATCAAGCCTTGCTGACAGGAAAATGTGTAAAGAATTTAAGGTGTGATATCACCAAAGAGGTGTATCCTGTTAATGCTTTCGGTGTGGAAGTTTCTTCTGTTTTTAGAGAGAGACCTGCATCTGCTTCAGAAACTGCCGTACACATCCAAGGTGAACATACCTTGTGAATGGCGGCTATTTACTTAAAATATTTCAGGAAAATGTTTTTATAATAAGAATTTACATGTTTATACCTGAAAGTGTTTCAGGAATTTATTATGGGTTAAATTTTCAAGATGCGTTGGGAAAAGCTTCTCTTTTAAAGTAAGCTATTACAAGAAACTTAGTTATTTGTGTAAGGGGTTACAAATAAATGCCTTGGGAGGAAATTGCTTTTAATGTTTTTGTGTTGTTTTCCATAATAAGTGTACACAATACGTCAATCACTTTGATAATTATAATCTCCCACATTTTGCTAATTTTATAAAGTAACCCCACACACATATAACTTGTAAATGTTATGGATGTCATGGAAAGCTTTCTTGTCCACATTTAATCTTTAACAGAGAGCTATACTGTATATAGCAGTGATGGTGCTCTGAGGAAACTACATAATACAAAAGGCCCAAAAGGTTAGTTCCAAAATAAAGAAATGCATGTATTTAATTAGTAATATTCCAAAGCTAAGTATAAAGAGTGCTTAAAGGGGAAAAGGCCAATAAACTGCAAGGAAGAAGAGAATGGGTTTTTAGAATAAAACCTACACAAAAAGTTTTTTTTAATTCAAAGGCAAATTAACATTGTACAATAAGTCCATCTTTAAAGTAGACCATTTTTTAAAAAGTCATTTACCAAACAGCAGGTTACATATATAATGCAACTGTCACCCTTGCATATTGTACAATGTTAAAGGAAATTCATATCAACTTCCATTAATGATATTTAAAAAATTGTCAGGAGTGGGGAAGATTATTCATTAGTCATTAAAGATTGCTAAGGCTTAAACCTGGCATTATTAAAAAAAAAAAGCTGTTAAAATAAGAGAAATTCTACTCAGCTTGAAACAATCAATTTTACATCTAATGCATCTAAGATTTCAGTCCTGATTACAAATGATGAAAATACTGGAAGGTTATATCTCTATAGTCGCAACATTTTGTGATTCTATGTTGTGCTGTAGCTGTCACAGATGTAGAATGCAGTCCCTGCAGCAACAATCTAGGAGCCCTTCAAAGATTTGAAGGTCCAGAACTTGGACAAAACTTGCAAAAAACATCACTGAACATTAATAACTGAGTACCCGAAGGTTCTCATTGAAGAATATCATTAAATCTCCCCATTATATTTTTCTGTCTTGTGTAAGGTAAAGCACAGCACCAAGAAGCATTAATGCCACTCATTTGTTACTCATACTGTCTCCAGAATAAGCAAGTGATTACCCACATATATAAATGTTTCCCATATATAAATATAATTTTTCTTACAATTTTCAATAGAAGCTCAGATTTTAAAATGTTTTATCATCTGAGCCAAGAATAAAGAATGTGAATGTAGCTCCATCCTGGAAACTTTGAGCAAATCTGATGTTCGTTCATTTGTCTGCCCATATCTTAAGGAAGTTCCACACCCAGAAATTAAATACAAAGGATGGTGGGTGTAGTGATAAAGATAACTCAAACATTTAGATTTTTTCCCATATTTATCTACAATGCAATATATCTTAAAAACTGATGTATAAACTTATGAAGAAGGAAAGATAAAGGTGATTACTCATTTTTAGCAGACAATGTGGCACACTCAACTAATTTTTTAGCTGTACAAGATAACAGACTTAAATCTAGAAAAGAATATTGCAGAAGTACCTAAAAATTGCTGAATATTTGTCTAGTTCTTTAATAACAAAAGGTGCTAAACAATGATAATGCAATATTGGACTGAAAAATAAAATGAATTTAGAATAAAATTAGATATTGTTCTGATTTTTAAGTTTGGACTTAGACTCGATCTGTGATGTTACATAGGTGTAACATAAGAGTTACAATTACAGCAAGCACAGTACATGGTACATGTATGTGCCAAATCATACGTAATATTCATGAAAGTTATTTTAAGCATACAAACGTCTGTTTCTTTGTTTCACTAGAACAAGTCATGTTAGAACAGGAAATAGAATAGGAATATTGATCTTAAAGGCATGTGCTGTGCTGGGTTAGTATCATCAGTTAGAATCAACTCTTCTTATTGTCTTGTGTTCAACCATCCTAGGCATGATGTTGTCCCATGACAGCACACGCTGTGCTGTGCACTAGTACACTAGTGGATGGTATAATACTGGTGTTCAGGAAAACTAATAATCAGTTTTGTTATGCAATGAAACAAATGCAAAGTTTCAGATCAGTATGATTATCAACTTTATTTAGTTTTTTTTACAGTGTTGTTTGAATTTTACTTAAGAACAGAGAGTGTCTAATATTTAAACCAGCATTTGTATTTGCTGATGAACTAAGAAATGTGCTTTCCATTATGAAACAACCTAGATTATTCATAAGCAAACATGTTTGGATATAACTGCTGAAACCCGTATACTCCTGCAAATATCAGAGCAAGTGACACAGACCTTGAGATTAGGACTGTAATGCAGAAGTAGTTGCTAGAAGCAGAAGAGGTGGCATCAGTATCCCAGTCTGGATACCAGTCTTTATAACCTGTCAAGCAAGAACAAAATAGTTTTATCCATGACATTGAAGCAAAATCTGTAATTTATTCAATTACCCTTATAATCATTAAATACTTACTTTTTAATTGCTCCCGGGCTTGGTTTCCTGAAAAACAAAATAATTTGTTTTAAACACATGCAAACCTTTTATCAAAGGTACACATGGTATCATACACTCAACTATCAAAAAAAGAAATTACAGTGGTTTATTTAGTTTTAGATATTGCTTTAATCAGATTTCACTTAGTTTTATCTATTCTATATGTTTATTTTTAGATTCACACTATACTGTAAAATCATAGCTACTATTTGAATGTTGTGCATACAGTGTTTTGCAAAACTATTGAAAACCTTGCACAGTTTTCACATTTTGTTACTTTGAAGCTTGCAGTCATGATACTTTGAACTATCAATTAATATTTCTATCTAAACTCCACACAATGTAAAAAACTACTCAAAGTAAAAACAATACATAGATAATGAATATGAAAGTCATGATTGCATAGGTATTCAAATCTTTTTCCATGACAAGCCTAAATTAATTTTGGTGCACAAAATAATACAATTGGTTGAGTGGCCTCTTTGTGTGGTATGATACTGTAGTTCTTTGCATGAGTTCAAAATAAATAGACCTGTCTCAGCAATATTCCTCGGTCAGGTAGTAAATTCCAAGCAACCATAACCATAATGACCATGGAGACAATTGAGAAGGGTACAAAAGCATTTTGAAATACCCTTACTATCTTATTTTAGCACGGTGAAGTTGATAAGAAGTGGAAGGCACCTAAACACTGCCTTAACCAGCTATCCATCCAAATTACACAAGGTGGTAAGGTGGTTAGGGATGGACAATGGTGACTTTGAAAGACTAACTGAATTCAGTGCTTGAGATGGAAGAAAATGTTCATCGATCAACAACTGTCATGCATGGTGGTGGCAACATTATTGTAAAGTTCTAAGTCTCATTAGCAGACACTGCGAAGCTTGTTAAGAATGATGGGAACAAAGGTGGAGCAAAGTACTGAAAAATCTTAGAGGAAAACCCGCTTCAGACCTAAGATTGGGAGAAAAATTCACAGTTCAGTAGGACTAAATACACTGAGATACACTGCCGTGACTAAAGAATTATAAAGTGAATGCCCTTCATTGGTTCAAAGTCCTGACATGTCCTATTGAGAATCTGTGGAAAGGCTTGACTTGAAAACTGCCGCCCATGTGTGATCCCCAAGCAAATTTAGAGAGCTAAAAAGTTGGTAGAGACTTACTCAAAAAGACCTGAAATTGTAATTGCTCCTAAATGTGCCTCAACCAAATATTGAGTTCACGTGTCTGAATACTTATGCAATCAACATTTTTTTTTTCGTGGTGCTGACATTTACTGTAAAACATCTAACTCTTCAGCATCTTCAGTTTAAACATTCAGGTTTTGAATGAAACCTTTAAAAACATTTTACATTTTGTGCATGCAATTATTGTAATTTCACAAAATGTATGACATTGTTTTGGTATCAGATTTAAAAGACTGAGCAGAATACATTCATAAATCATTGAAAAATGCTCAATGCTGAATTTATACACTTGACAGTATGTTACACTTACGGCATAAATGGTTAACACAAGTGTCACTACCACATCTACTGCAGCTGACTCCACGAGTGTAAGGATGGACTCCAATTAAGTTCCCACTGGTAAGAAAGAACACACACTTTAATCAAAACACTGTCCTTAGGACTAAGCCAGAGATATTACAAGCAGTAAATCTGTACCAGAAAGGTAGGAAAGTATAAAATATACTGATGGAAAAAAGAAACACAACATTTTCTGGAATGAGAATACTATAGTTATAGCTTATGTACTTTCACAAAAAGTTGTCAATTTGTTTTAAGTCCTCTGACCAGCAATACAGCTTGAGGCATTGCAACTTGCCAATCATACGAGGGCTCGTCAGGTGCACCTTTACCCAATGAGTTCCAGGTGGAACAATGCCTGATGTGGTCACCTTAAATAAGGCCTTAATTCGAAGCTTAGGTCACCGCAAGAAAAAGGCCACACTTAGTCAGTTTTCTGTGTATTCCATAATGCCTCGAATGTCACCAGAAGCAAGGGAGAGGGCCATTGGCATGCTGCAGGCAGGCATGTCATGTGCCAGCATTGCCAGACACTATGGAGTAAGCCGCTCCACTGTGTCCTGACTGCAGAGAAGGTTTCAGCAGACCGACAGGACAGATGAACGTCCAAGATCCAGTCGCCCTCAAGTGACCACACCAGAGCAGGACCGACATCAGACTGGTCCATCTGAGAGACTGGTTCAGATCTGCCACCCGTACTGCTGCTCACAACTCCTAGACATCACAACTGACTGGCTTGGGCCAGACAGAGGCTGCAATTGGACTCGTCAGCAGTGGCATCAGGTCCTCTTCACAGATGAGTCACTCTTCAGCCTGTTCCACGCAGAGTGTGGAGGAATGGGTGATGCATTTCTTTTTTCCATCAGTATATATATTACAACAATTGCCAATATATTAAGGACAAACTTAATAATAATGATGATAATGTGTGGTTTGATTATGATAATATTTGGTTTATTTTCACTAGTGTTGTAGTTCTCATAGATGTAAGCATGTCACGATGCTTATTTGTAGTAGTGTGGACATTTCTTTTGCATTCATATCTAATATTGATGCATAACCTTAGGGTCTGAAATAATTTACTGGTTAGATGTGCTTGAAAATCGTGTTGTGTTCAGTATACTCACGCATCTCCATAGTTGCAAACAAATATGGTTGGATTTGGAATGGAAGTAAAGAAATCAGTGATTCCAGAAGGACAAACCTGAACAGCACAACCAACCTTGTAGCTTTTCTCCCAGACAACCTAGAGAATAAGCATATGAAGTCAAATTGCTACAATAAATGTGATGTTCTCTCATATTTTTCCATCTTTCTTTAGTTTTTTACTAAGTAATTTCATTAGCTTGAGCCAGATGTCACTAGTATCTGTAAAAGACATTTAGGCTGTTTGAAATCACCAATAATACTTACTTTACGTAACTATTGACTGAACATTTGGAAAGTTCCTGTGTAAGGGCCTATAGAATTGTTCTAAATAGCAAATGTATTATTGATTAATAAATAAATGAAACAAAACATCTAGAATATATTTAAATGTGAGTAAGACAGTGGAAACTGAAATATCATCTCCCATTTTAAAAAAAAATGTAACAAAATGTAATATCTTTTAGAGCCTTCCCAGACAACCACACCACTAATGGTAACTCAAGTAGGAGATTTCTTTACTGCAATATACAAAGGAGGACAGATGCAGCCAGTAGCTTGACCTCTCACTCGTTTTCTCAAGACCAGCAACAAGCTTTGATTTTTGGAGATGAGCAAAATTTCCATGCAACAACAATGCATTTTTATGTTTGTTAGTGACAGTTTGTTGCCATATACAGTACAAAATCAGACAGTTTATACAGCTGTGGTCAGCCCTGGGCAACCAGCCAAAGTCCCTGTTCCCACTATACTGTATGTAGCCAAATCAGACACAGGATACAAAAGCCATACCACCGTTCATGAGACCCTGGCTGTTTGAAATGCAGAAACAAATCTTGCAGAATTTGCAGATTTAATTTTGTAACATAACAATGGAACAAGCATGAATGCCGAATGCCTTCATGTTTAAACATTGTTCTGATTTTATAATTATATTCCAAGTCTTGCAGTAAACCCATGGTAGGTGAGGAATGTTGCAAGCGCAGAGAAATACAAACTTCTTCAATGATTTTAAATATGGTAATTTAAATAATTGAACATAACAGATCTAAACAATGAGTGGAATGACTATTCAATTACTTTTTGAGACCTGCTCTGTTATTAACAGCAGGAGTAACTGATAATACTTCACCTCTTTCTCTGAATTTCAGGATAATAATGAGGTTTTATTTGTTTCTTCTTCATTACATAAGCCAAATTGAAAATATTTACTACAATTGGAACCGTACTGGTCGTATGTTCAACATTTCCACTACTTGATTGTTACAAAATAGAGAGCCTCAGGAAAGAGAGAGCAGTTAAATAAAAAGTGATAAATTGTGTTTTGTCAAGAATGTCAAATGTCAAAAATGCACCTGAGTGGTAGGTAACCATTTGAGACATGTGAAACATAGCACTTGGATTGTTTCTATTCTCGGGCACAGAGTCACAGAGTGACAAATGTGGGCATAAAGCAGTGTCTTGGGGGGGGGGGGGTTATATTTAATTTAAATATATAAAATGTCCAGTGTTTTGTCATGGATGGTGTATTTTGCCTGTTATTTTTGTCTGCTTTCTTCTTTCAAGGCCTGCAACGTTTCTTGTGCAAGCAGTAGGGCAGATGCCAATCAACAATGGTAGACAGTTTGCCTAGACATCCATCAATTACCACACAGCAAGCGGTTATAAACTAGATTATGTGGGGTTGCTGAATAGGCTTAACTGAACCTCAAACAGGTTGACAGAGAGGGACAAAGGAGGAAGGGACAATGCACTATGACACCTACACAACTACATAGTCCTTATCTGTCCCCGATTGTTATGTCTGCCTTAACCCCAGTATCACCCGGATAGTCCTGCCCCTCATTCAAGTCCTAGAGTTCAGGCCAGAAAGAGGGTATACTGTATAATCCTTGGCCATGTCTAAACAATGTCAATGAGAAAAACTCAGTGACAAAAACAAAGTGTTATCACTGTGATTTATAAGAAATGTCATACCTGAGTGTAATGTCCACATGCTTTTCTGCACACATTGTCGTTATATTCATAGTCCTTAACTTCATCATACCACGCCTTTACTGCTTTGGATACAGTGAATATGGAAGAAGGTGCTCCAACCCAGATGTTTTCCCCAACAGGAGTAAAAGTGGGATGAACCTTTCCAGGTTGTTTCAGGTAGATATTGTGATTAAAATTGCAGGTCCTTGCCCAGGCTCTTGCGGTTTTGGCCAAAGCCTCATCCCAGGTCTAAAAAAAAAAAAGTTTCATAAATTCGTAAACCAAACAAAGATTAATTCACTTAATAATCAGTAACAGCAATTGAGAGAGTTTAATATGTTACTTTCAACGAAATAACACCAAGAAGTATTTTTTTTTTTATTTCAGACTTTGTTTCGTAATGAAATAAAGTGCTTGTTACAATTATAAAGTCTTATCTATCGTTTGCATATTTTACCACAGGATTATCTGTTCCTTCTGGCTAATTTTTATTTCATTAAACATTGTGATAACAATAGAAACAGTGTAAGTGCATTTAAATTTAAAACTAGTCTGAGGGAGGTCTGGATGTCAGTGGATGGTCAAGGTCTTTTTTTATATAATAAAAATAAATTACTGCTGATCCTTTAAGGTTGAGGACACAAATCAAGGAGCACATGACAGGGGTTAATATTGGTTATCACAAAGTGGTCACTGGGATTACCTAGTGACACACTGTCCTCCACATCATTCTGTGACATCCAGAAGCTGGTTTCTTGGCCTCTTTTGGCTGGAGTCTATTCTCTGAGTGTCTGTTTCACTGACCATTCAACAGGAACAGAGTCTATCTGCACCTCATGTTAGTCAGAGGACCTAACACCTTTAGTGTTGGTATAGTCAGTCATTTAGGCAAAATGGGTGGTAGCAAAGCTAGGGGTATCCTACCCATTATTCTATTCTATTTTTTGTTTTAAATAGCAATTAATGTGGCATGTATGTTAAGCAGGAAAATTGTCAGAAAATCCAAAGGATGTTTTCTCCTTAGTTGTTGAAGAAAACAAATGAGACTCACTTAAAATACTAGTTAGACTAGAGCATAGCAATAATTATAAATTAAAATGAAGTGGATAAATATATGTGTTACTACAAACACAAGATTATTTTTTTTTAATTACCAAATGAGAGATAATCAGGAATATTTCATAGTAATCATCTCAGACTGAAAATTCTTTAAAAAACGTCTTCACCACCTTCCTTTTGTACCTCTTTACTACAGTATCTTCAAGGGCTTCAATAGACTTAAATAAGTGGTTTTTCTGAACGTTTCTTTCTTTATCTTTGACTGGTTGACTTTGTCTATTCCAATTTGTATACCACTGTCTGCAGACATCATCATTATTTTTTTACTTTGTTGTTTTCTCTGCTTTAAGGCTCTTCTTTGTCTTGATTCAGTTTTCTGCTGGTGAGTCTGGACAAGTTTAATTATGCCAGCTGACTGCCAAGGATCTCCATTAATGCTGATATGCAACAATATTCTAGCCTTCTCCCTTCTCTTGTTCCAAGAAGCTTCTCAATCTGGTTTTGATGCATTCCAGGGCACTTGCTGTATGTTCAGGTCAACATTATCTATAAACCTAGTAAGTGGCATCAGACTGCAGAAAGACGGACACTAGTTCTTTACTTTGTTTGGCCAAATGTGGGGTTTTTCCTTATTAAATAATGCAAAGTCACACCTGGGTTGCTTCTGTAATTCCATCAGCATTCTGAGTCTGTGTCATATCCTCAGTAGTAAACAGTTTGTAGAAATGAAAGACAAGAACCTGTTTGTGATTTGCTGATCTTTGCCCAGCGCTGTCCTCAGCCAGGTGTGTTAAAGTCAAAGTACAGTACATCTCATTTGGTCATTATGACAATATGACTGAATAATTGAATGGAGTGTAAGAATGCAGAAAAGAGGGCTGCATTATGATGAGAAAAGCAAAAGGACTGAGGATTTAAAATTATTTTCAAATGGGACAGAGGTGGTGCAGGTAACATAACATTGAACAGCCATTGCCATTTTTTTTAAATAAAATATTATGCTTTTTCATAGCCATTTGTGACCTAGATTTCCAAATCACGGTGACATAATAGGCCAGAGAAAAAATGGGCTTGACTTGGATGGGACATCCTGAGTTTACTGCGCAACAGAAAACTCTGGAACAGTTTGTCAAATATTGAATATCATGAGGATGAGACCATAGACATATCGGAAGAGTGTATGCACAAATACCAAACCAAGTGGGTATAAAACAGGAAAGAAACAACAAAATGAAAAGACAAAATTGTAAAAAGTCATCATCAAAGTTTTCACAAGGCTTTGTTGCAGCTTTCACAGGATTAATAGATTATATTTTTAGTTTAATTAACATATTTATAGTGGATCTGAAAAGGTTTTACCAGACTTTAATTATACAGTATTATGAGACTATACATTTAAATAGATAACTGAAAATCCAGACTAGAAAAGGTTGATGTGTAGTTACTTGCTGGTAATTACTAATGGAAAATCCCAAAATAACCTAAGGTGTGACTAAAGGAAACGTTCAGAACTTGTTTTTGGAAGTAACAAGATCATGAGATTGTTCCTCACTTAAGAGTAAAAAATGAAAGCTTGTTATGCTCAAAGGGGAAATGGGTTTAAATGGGAAATGGTACAAAAATCCACTTGGGTCCTTATTTTCCTGAAAAGGTGCCAACCCAACATTAAAACTATTGGATAAACAATCTGCCCACACTGTGCTTAAGGGGACAAAATATCCCTTAAACTGTCAGTTGCCTTAGAAAGGGCTTTCTAATTCATCCTTGTATTTGTTGGATTATAAAAAGCTTAACAATCAAAAAGGAATTGTTTGTAAAAAAGTCTAAGAGTTACTACTAGTTACTAGTTTCTGACAATGTCAGGATCTGAATGTCAATGTGACAAGTTGGTAGAAAAACAAATAAACCATAATAATAAAAGAATTAAAAGTCATATAAACAGAAAAATGTCAAGATCATTTGTTCCCAGTGTACCTTCCCATCCTTCAGTATTCTTAAATACTGGAACATACATTAAAATTATTTGCACAGCATAGTGTCCAAACTTGCTTTTTATCTCCTGGGAAATTCCATGTCAGATCCATTTAATGTCAGTAATTATGACATGTCACAAGAAGCACTACATGCAGATTTATACAAAGGGAACAGTTAACAACGCACCATTTATAGAGAGCACTTCTCACCTTAAAAATTGTGCAACATGTTCCTCAAATGAATGGTTCTAATAATGAAAAGGGTAGGAATGTCCATTTAAAATACAACAAAATGCTTTCCTTCATACTCTAATACCATGCTAGTCTACATTGCAGTTGACAGTAATAGCAAAATCTTACATTAAGCTCAGTTTGGAGTCTCATTTAACAGACATGGAGGTTGGTATAATATTAAAGATAATTAAAGTCATTAATTTGTCAAAGCACAATTAGCTTGATAATGCATAAGCTAATGACAAGGATGATAAGATAAAATAGGAAAGAAATAGTACTTCACTCACCAGAAAATTAAAACTAGATATTTAAAGTGTTGAAGAGTGAATTCTATAAATTTAAGCAGTCAAAGAAACATCTTCTTGAAATGAATCAATGTTAACAGACCCTTTACTTCTGCTCTATACTAGGAAATTCACACATTTTTTTTTCTTTCAGCATTTGGTTTTTATGCCATCTCCTGTGGCTATAAATATATGGTGCAGCACTACATCTAACCTTGTAGATCTAAAAGCATCTAAAAGTGCTAACTTTAACACAGAAAATACCAAACTTTCAACAACCTCCAGTAAATCTTTCTTTTTTGCAAGACCTGCTTACGTCATATTTTCATGCAGAAATGGCAAATAATAATGCAGGATTCTACGCATTGCTTAATGAAGTTTCAAGACAAACAGTGGCTTTTTGCTTTGAAGTTTGGTCTTAAAGTTTAAGCAATATCATTTTGCAGATTATTTTTCTTAATTCTGCACAGCATCATCATATCAAATGTGCATAAAATATGTAGTACATTTATTATAAGTATAAAACTCTGAAAATTTGTTTTCTGAAGTATCTTACCATGTACATCATTCCACTTGCAGGTGGATTTACTTGAGAGCGAAACTGGTTATGAGCCTCAACACACTCTTTGATGAAGTCTTGATTGTTGATATCTGGCAAAGGCTTCTCTCTTAAAGACTGCAGGTAAACTGTGGAATCCATCATTATTGTAAAAAGTAGCAGGTTAAAAGACAATTTGGCCATGTTCAGCCTTTCAGTCTTGAAGTCTTACAAGCGTGGATCTGTGACTGGCTGTAGTGGCTGTGAAGAGAATGATTTTAGGGTGGGAGCAGTTATGATCACGGTACTCCAAAGAGCACTGACTAATGCAGTAGTTTCTGAAGAGCAGAAAGAAGTTATAATCAGGAACTTTGCTAACAAGTGTAGAAGTGTGCAAAACAGGAAGGAAATCCGTATACACGCGGATATTATGACAGTTACTTCAGATGTGTTTCACATTTTCTTTAGTTCATCAGGTGAACATGCAAAATGATCCTCACAACGACAGCCCATTTCCTTTTAGAAATTCTCATAAATCAGGTGCTTTGCCTAGAAAGTTAAATGAATCTTACTTTATGTCATATCGGAAACCTGTCCTGTTGAGTGCTTTGAGAAGACAAGGGCTTTGTGTATACCGGATTTCAAGAGTTGGCTTTACTTCTGCTGATATATGTACAGTATGTACACATGATGATTAAATAAATGCAAATTATATCTGTTGCAGAAGATGAAAGGAGTTCTTTTTTCTAATCTCCCTTTTTATTATTTTCATTTTATAACGATTGTCTTTGGTACTGCTTTAATAAGAAAATGAAAAGGTTATGGTCATTATTAGAGTGCTATTTCTATGATTGCAAACTGAAATGAAAACTAACATGAGAGAATTCTATACATGTAAAAACAATTTTATACTCTATGTTGTACCTTACGCTTATGGATGGACTTTGACACAGCACAGGAACTACAGCTAGAAGTTACTGTATTTTCTGATTCTACTTACTGTACATTTCTTATAGACTGTTCATGTATTAAATTGTATTACATTTTCTTAGACACCTTAGTGGAATAAAATATAATAAAACCGTGTGTATACAGCATTTCCAAATTGTATTATGTACAATACACTATATGTATTGAGCTCCATCGAGAAGTCAACGTACATATATATTTTATTCATAGTTTTGGCATTACTTGGTAATGTTTGCAGGTGTAAAAATACTGATCGTTTTTAGATATTAAATTAGTCAGGCATTTTTTGGGTTGTTGGATTTTAGTACCATGTTTCATGTAAAAGTGAAAGTAAAAGTTTTTTTTTCTATTTAATGTGAACTCAATTATGTGCTATGTACCCACGAACCATTAAGTTAACGACGGATATATTTGTATATGAACAAGTAATAGGTTTATTCCATGCTGAAAAAAAGAAGAAAGAGAACACAACGTTTCGGCCGTGGAGCCTTCTTCAGGTGCCATAATTGTGTGCCCATGTATATCAGATTCATAAACCAGGAAGTTGTGTGTTAAGTACATAAATGCCTGGTTTGTTATATCCTAGGTTTTTATTATTGCTTTACTGACTACCCCTCTTGTAGCAATGACGGAGGTTCTCCGCTAGATCCATGGGGTATTCTTGAAAGTCCTGCTGTTCCCAAGCACATGGAGAGGAGCTGCGCCTCGACCCCCAGCCTCAGAAGTCCTGACCTGCCACCTGGCTCAACGCCAGCTGCCCCACTGGACCTCCTTCTGTGTCCCCTACCGCTCGGTCACCAACGATCAGTTCGGCCTCTCACACTTTAACTGGGCTGTTTAACATACAGTAGAATCACACATTCTCCCTTCTCTTAAGACAGACTACTGTTCTTTTAAATTTTCTCCAGTCATTGGAAGTTTCATTTCACACCTCTCTGCACCCATTCTGACTTCACACCTCTTGATTGGCCTCTCTTTCTGTCCCCTGCTCCCGCCTCTCACTCCTCCTCCCTCCCAACCTTTGTTCTCCCGCTACTTTACCTTTGCCTACTGCCCTGTCTCTCTCACACCTGAAGAAGGCTCCACGGCCGAAACGTTGTGTTCTCTTCTTCTTCTTCTTTTTTTTCAGCACGGAATAAACCTATTACTTGTTCCTTTGCAGCCTACGCCTGCTGAGGCAGCTACCCACCTGAACTATATTTGTATATTTTGCGCTGCTACAATTTGTAGACTCCCGCCACCTAGTGGATATATTTGAAAATTCATTTTTTGACAGCTAGTCCTGAAAGTTGAAGGTTGTAGCAGAATATACTGTACATAGAATACACTTACACCCTGGTATCAGAACATAATTCATTCCTGAAAATCTATTCGGAAGGCGGGAGAGCTTAAATTGAAAATAAAAATGATATATATATATATTCCATATTTCTTATGGGGAAAATTCAACTCTGTTCGAACCTGAAGTCATGTTCACTTGAAAAACACTCTAAATATATGATACAGAGCAATTATAGCAAGCCTAGTGAACAATGCAGTTCTACTCAAATAAGCCATGTATAGCTAAAATAATTATATCATATTTACACTTTTCATTTTTTCATAATATATCACTGGTCTTAAGAAGTCCAGGTCCATTCTCAAGGACCCCAGCCATCCCAGTCACAAACTATTTTCTCTCCTTCCATCTGGTAAACAGTACCGAAGCATTCTTCTAAAGCTTCTACCTCCAGGCAATAAGACTGCCAAATAGCCAACCTGCAGCTCCTTTAGCAAATCACCCACAATGGCTACATGTAAATACAGTTTTCATTGTATTCGGCACACTGCACTACTTGGACATAATATATTGCATAGACCATGGACACATAGCAGCTCTATTCCTATTGAGTTTTGTCTGAGTTTATTTTATTCAGTTTCTATTACAATATTATCTATTATTATGAAACATTATTTTGTAACCTTGATTTTGTGATTTTACCCCCTGGTGAGCCTGTAGAAAAGACATTCCATTGCCAGCAACTACTGCTGCATGCTGTATTGTTGTGCATTTGATAAATAAACTTTGATTTGATTTGATCCAAGCGATCAGCTAGAAAGATGTGAATATTGTTTTCGACTATTACGCAAAAAAATATTGCCAGACTATGTCCGACTGTATGTTGTCTCTGTAGCAGAAAAGCTGGTCAACACATTAGTCTTTTATAGAATTGATTACTGCAACACTGTATTCACTGGGATATCTATATCCCCACTAAACAAACTTCACTAAGTCCAGAATTTGGCAGCCAGAGTCCTGACCAGGTTGTGTGCCAGTGATCAAAATTACTCCTGTCCTGGAGTCCTTGCACTGGCTTCCTATGTGGTTTTGTGCCAACTTCAAAATCCTCATGCTCACTTTTAAGGTTCTACATGGCTTGGCACATCAGTGTCTATATGACTTATTATTATCTTCCTACTCCCCACCTCGTAATTTTTTGTTCAGCAGATTCAGGTCTCCTGTTCCCCTCCCGAGCCCTTACATTGTGCGTGACAGAGCCATCTCCTGCTATGCTCCAAAGCCCTGGAATTCAATGCTCAAGGACATCAGAGAGTCACTTACATTGAGAGCATTCAAATCCATGCTCAAAACCTTATGTGTTAGGAAGGCTTATGTGTAACTAATTTCTGTGTCTGCTCCTTGCATCTTCTACTACTGCTAAAAATTTTAATATTTTGTGTTTCTCTGTGCTAATTGTATTTCCTATCTTTGTTTTCATTTGTTTTAATTGTTCTTTACTTTTCCTATAAAGCACTTTAAACAGATACATTGTATCCATTGTATCCTCCTCCTCCACATTGGGTGGACCGGTGGCTCTGTGGCTAAGGATCTGCACCTATGACTGGAAGGTTGCCAGTTCAAATCCTGCAGCTGGCAGAGGAATCTTACTCTGTTGGGCCCCTGAGCAAGGCCCTTAACTCTAACTGCTCCAGGGGTGCCATACAATGCCAGACCCTGTGTTCTGACCCCAAGCTTCTCTCCCTGTCTGTGTGTCCATGGAGAAAAGCTGGGGTATGCAAAAAGACAAAATCCTAATGCAAGGAATTGTATAAGGCTAATAAAGAAACATAATTATTATTATTATTACATTTAAAGGTGCTAATAATAATAAGAATAAGAATAATAAGAGCCCCACCCAGCAGGGTGGAGCAGTATCACTGTGGCTAAGGATCTGTGCCTGTGGCAGGAAGATTGCTGGCTCAAATCCTGCGGTCGGCAGAGGTATCAGTAGGAAATTGGGCTGTTGGGCTCCTGAGGAAGTCCCTTAACCCCAACTTCTCCAGGGGTGCTGTACAATGTGTGGTGAGCATTCTGGCGCACTATGGCTGCCGTCGCATCATCCAGGTAGATGCTGCATATGGTGGTGGTGGAGGGGAGTCCCCATTGCCTGTAAAGCGCTTTGAGTGGAGTGTCCAGAAAAGCGCTATATAAATGTAAGCAATAATTATTATTATTTTTACAATGGCTAACCCTGTGTTCTGACCCCAAGCTTCTCTCCTTATCTGTGTGTCTGTCTCTCATGCAGAGCAAGCTGGGGTACGTGAAAAAGACTCATTCCTATGCATGAAATTGTACTGTACATGACCAATAAAGTGATCTTATCTTATCTTCCAATAGTACACTGGAGGTGACGACAGTTCATCGAAGGACACTCAATGCACAACAATTAGGAGATACCTGGTAATCAAATCCTACAGTTGGTGTCTTCGGTTGTAGGTTAAAAAAATATGAACACTCCGCACAGAAGGGCAAAAGGCTCCAGGCTGTAAATAAAACCAACACCCAAGGGAAACACCAAAGTTTAGCAGTAGCTATTAAGCCACTCACGGCCATTCTTTGTTTCAGTAGAACTTATGTGATCAAAGCTCAAGTGATGATTTTATTCTCGTCTGTGATATGTGCATGGTGGTGTCAGTCATTTGAAAACCAACCAATCACCGCCATTTCCTTTCAGTTAATTTGAACAGAGGATTGGTTGGACTACAGACAGGAAATGTAAATTATCGAGTAAGAGGAAGTGGTTATGTATTTAGAAGAACGCTGCTGCTACGCGTTGCGGTGTTGGGTTTTTATCACATTGGAATTTGGCTAAGATCAAGTGAACTTTTCTTGAGGAGTGGGTCGTGCCTGGCTTTTGTGTATATTTTTTTTGGAGTTTTTCCTGCGATGGTTCTGACATATTCGCAGCAGTTGACGGTCGCCTTCGCCGCCGTGATGTGTGGCTGCCTGGTTTTCCCCAGAATGTTCGGGGGCGGAACCGGGTCGAAAGATCCAAGAGCGTTCGAGCCGCATTTCAGTAGGAAAGGTAACAGTGTTCGACGCGCTGGGCGACCTTTACGAGAGCATGGGAACCGGGTGCTGTTTACCGTGGGTGCACCACCTTAAATCGGTAGGCTGCACTGAAGCATGTGTTCTGACAGGACGAGATGCGCGTTTTGCATGGACAAAAACACAACATTGCACGCTTGCGAGTCACAGACAAAACACTAATTCAGCCCTGTTAATATCCTAAGGTACGACGCAGCTTTTATCCTCCAAATAGGGGTGAGGATTACTGTAAACAATCAATTTTGTGTTTTTATACTTAATTTTATTTACCGTTCTGCACAGTGTAAAAGAAACACAAAAGACCTAAATAATTATTTTTAATTATTTGTTAATTTGCCAAACACTCTTTGTCGGTAAAGGAAAACAAAATGCATTTTAAATCTGAAAATTTAGAAATTTCCCAAGTGAAAAGCAAAATGAATAGCAATTTCTTTTTTTGAAGATCTGCTGTCCCTACACTAACCAGTGACTGAATAATAAAAATGTCAAGAAACTGTGTTGCATACAGTGTTTTAAACTGGAAAGCAAATATTTTGTTTTTCGTTGTTTAAAACTTGTGGATCACACACAAACTGCCCTTTTCAGCTGTGGGCTTTATGCAGTTACTGCAGTTCAACTTACAAAAACGTTATCTGTCTTCTCTGTGTTGCAGTCGGCCCTGGTCCATTAAGAGGACATCAGGTCAATATGGATACAGGAAGTGGGAAGGGCCAGTCATTTGAGAACATACAACAGATGAGAAAAATGATGGAGCAAGAGATAAAGAGCGAACGGCTTAAAGCAAATAATAAAGGCTATGTCTTTACCCTGATGCCATTGTATGCCATTGGCGTGGGCGTCTTTGCTGTCTACAAGTTTCTAAAGGTAACACAGATTTTCGACAACGTTTGACAGAGCACCCTTTAACAATTAGCTGTTTCTCACAGCTGTTAAAGATACTCTGTAATGCAGATGAGTAATGTTGTTTTCTTCTGCATCATGGCATAAGAGATTTGGAGGGAGCTCTGGGACCCCTGGGTGATTAAATGTGCTGTGTGAAAGCTAATTGTATTAACAACATTAGCCAGCCTGCTGTAATCCCTGTGGTAGAACAGGAACACAGAAGTTAATATTTGTGTGAGGCAAAATGAATGTGAAACGGCCTTAACAAATCCTGACATCATATACATGCCTTGCTAAAAGTATGCAGACTCTTGCAGAGTTTTCACATTTTGTTGGTTTTAAGCCTGAAGTCATGACACTTTGAAGTAGTCATTAATATTTGGTATGTACACAGCCTGCCCCACACAAAGCAAAAAACAAAATGGAAGAAGAAATCTGAAAGCAAAAATGGAGGAGTCATGATTACATAAGTAAGCACACACTGATTAATTTAGGTGCAGAAATTACCTTAATGAGCCACACAATTAGTAGATCAGAATAATACACCTCATCGGTTGTAAACATTGCATTGCAAAACGTTACATCTGACACAATCCCAATATAATGCATTACTCAGTCAACACCATCCCTACTGTTAAGCATGGTGGTGGCATCATTATTTGAAGCTTGTCAAGACTGATGGGAATATAGATGGAGCGAAGTACTTGGACATCTTTGAGAAAAACCTATTTTAGACTTAAAACTGGAACAAAAATTCACTTTTCAGAAAGACAAATACCACAGGCACAAGGCCAGAGCTACACTGGAGTGGCTTGCCATAAGAAAGTGCATGTCTTTCAGTGGCTCAAATTCTGTCTTGAGTTCTTTTGAGAATCTGTGTAAAGTCATGAAAACCTTTATCCATACGATAAGTGAACTCCAAGCAACTTGAGTTTGTGAACGCATGAACAAAAGTCTAAAAGAATAATCAAACATTGCAACAAGACAGTGTGCATAGTTGATAGAGACACAAACAGCCTTGCAGTTGTAATTACTGCAGGAAGTGCTTCCACTAAATATTGTAAATAAATACTCACTTTATTTTAGTTTTTGCTGACATCTATTATTTATTATCTGTTATCTTACCCATAGACATCTTTAGTTTAAACATCTTGATTTTGAACAAAATCTTAAATGTAAAAAAATGAGTGTGCATAATTTTTTGTAATTTTGCAAAATGAGGAGCCATAGGAATACTTTTGCAAAGTTCTGTGTGTGACTGCAACATGAAAACTACAAAGAAGCATATTTAAATAATAATTGTGGTTTTGTCTAGTGTCAAGAATAGAAATCTCAAGTTATTATAAAACCAAACTCTGACAATAACAATTTATCAATACGTCCCATCACTGGATGGAAGCAGTATTCATTATGCATCCCTGTTTTTAGCTGACTTATATCTCCATTGATGAGTGTATGATATATTACATTTGAATCTAATGTTAACTGCTTTGCTTAACACCTTACCTGCTACTATTTACTTTGATAGTGCAAGCACTAAAAAGGCTTGTGCTGTTTTTATCTGAAAACAATGTATGCAGTAGTGCCTCTAATGTTATTGATACAGTGTCTTAAATTTCTTCCTTGCTTCTTATTTTTGTTAGTATACAAATAGTCCATGGCTTAGCTCCATTCAGTGTCTGGCACCATATAGCTTGAATTGAAATTAGGGATTGGAATTCTATTGGTGAAGATTTTCTCCTGTCATTGGGGTGGGCTTCCACATGTGAGGAGCTTGACAGTTTTTAATGTTTTTAATGTTCCAGATTCAAGACCTATTTTTTATTTTATTGAAGAATACCAACAACTTTTTCTGCTCACAGGAACTAAATACATCTGTATTGTTTTATTCTAAAACATTTATAGACAAATGCATTGTGAAACGTGTTTTCACTGTAGAGTTTAGAGTTGAGGTTCTGATTTTACATTTTCTAAATGTAATTGCTTTTACCACTTCTGTAATATACAGATTAAATCCAGTGAATCTCAGACTGGCAAGGAAAAGACTTCTAAGGGAGCTAAAAAGTCAGAGGAGACAGGTAAAGTATTTTTTATTCATATTGTGATACATTTAGAGAGGATGGTGTAATTTAATGCTCGTTGTGGGATGGTGGCTGTTACCATGCTGTTTGAGTATATTGACAGCACTCTTTTGATAACCAGAGTTTAAACTGTAACTTAATGGTTTGGAGTTCAGAAGGTTTTCTTTTAGAACACTCGCGTACATTGCAACTTTAGTGATGCAGAACAATTTGTGTTTTTTTTAATTTAGGCTAATACAGTATATTTCTTATTTACTAACAGCAATCACTGTCACCATATTGTATTTTTTAAGTGTTGAGACATATCAAAGAAGGAAAGCCTGCTGTACCTGTAGCCAAGGCAGAGATAGTAAAACGATTTGATTTAAAGTCTAGTACAGTGTAATAACCTATTTTAATGGTTATGATCCTAACAGAAAATCAACTGAACGAACTTGAGCAACGTCTAGCTCAAACAGAGAAGATGCTTAATTCAATACTGACCCAGCTAGACCCATTGACTACCTGGTGAGTGAATGTCCAGTGTTTAAAATAGGTTTAGAGAATCTTCTGTGCATGTCCTATTAATATACCTTCAATGCAGTTATTACATAGACGTTATGTCTGAAACTCATCTAGCCCTTATTTACAGAAATTCCTAAAAAATGTGTTTTGAAAGAAAGGGCACTTTAATATTTATTTTTTCTCTTGGTCAAAGAAAGACGGTGAATACAAAGAAGTCAAATGCAGCTCGTTGTTCCTGCTCCTAAACTCTTGCTCTCTAAATGTACAGCTGTAATTCTAAATGTTGTTTATACAAAAGCTTGTGTTCATTTTTTAATGGTCTGAACTTTTGTCCCTACCACATTCCAGTGTGGAATCTGTGGCCTTTGAACAGAAGAATGAGATCATGGCCCAGCTACACTCCATTAGACAGCTGATGAAAAAGAGAGGCATGGACTTCCCTCCTCTAAATCCTGAAGGTTGGTTTCTCTTCTTACCTGAAAGTATTAAAGGCCTTGGCAGTTTCTGGAGGCCTGTATTTGTGTATATACAGTGGATATGAAAAGTCTACACACCCTTATTGAAATTGCAGTTTTTTGTGATGTAAAGCCAGAAATCAAGATAAATCATGTCAGACATTTTCCATCTTTAATGTGACCTTGTAACCAACTAAATTCAAGAGAAAAATAGTTTATTATTACAAAACCCTGGTTGCATAAATGTGCACACCCTTTTATAATGGGGGCTGTAGCTGTGTTCAGAGTTAACCAATCACATTCAAAATCATGTCCAAAGATAAGTAGCATACACCTGCCATCAATGAAAGTGATTCTGATTAACCCCAAATAAAAACCAGCTGTTCCTGTAGGATTTCCTTGAAACTTTCATGGTTGCATTCTACTGGTATAGCTGTGGTCCGCAAGGAGCTGACAAAATGTCTAGTGGATCTTATTGTTGAAAGTACCGATCAGGAGAGGGGTATAAATGAATATCAAAGGCATTGGATGTACCATGGAGCACTGTGAAGACTATCAATAAGTGGAGAAAATATGGCACCACAGGTACATTGCCATAGATCAGGACGACCCTCCAAAGTTGATGACAGGACAAGGAGAAAACTTATCAGGGAGGCTACCAAGAGGCCTACAGCACCATTAAGGGAGCTGCAGGAATTTCTGGCAGGTACTGGTCACTCCTTGCATGTGACAACAATCTCCCGTATTCTGCATGTCTGGGCTATGGGGTAGGGTGGCAAGGCGGAAGCCATTTCTCACAAAAAAGAACATCCAAACCCGTCTAAATTTAGCAAAAAAATACATTCAATCACCCCAAACCATGTGGGAAAATGTCTTATGGTCAGATGAGACAAAGGTTGGACGTTTTGGCCTTAATTCTAGAAGATATGTTTGGTGCAAAGACAACACAGCTCATCATCCAGAGAACACCATACCTACTGTGAAGCATGGTGGTGGCAGGATTGTGCTTTGGGGCTGCTTCTCTTTAGCTGGGACAGGGGCTGTAGTCAAGATAGATGGGATAATGACTAGCTCCAAATATGTATATATATATTTTGGCATAAAACCTGTTGGCCTCTGTCAGAAAGCTGAAGATGAAGAGGAATTTCACCTTCCAACGTGATAATGCCCCAAAGCACACATCCAAATCAACCAAGGAATAGCTTCAGAAAAGCAAGATCAAAGTCTTGGAATGGCCAAGCCAGAGCCCAGACCTCAATCCCATAGAACATCTGTGGAATGACCTAAAGAGGACTGTGCACAGGAGATCCCCTGGCAATTTGAAGGAGCTTGAACTTTTTTGGAAGAGTGGGATAAAATTGCAAAGTCCAGGTGTGCAAAGTTAATAGAGATTTATTCACAAAGACCTAATGCTGTAATTAATGCAAAATGTGCTTCCACAAAGTATTAGTTGGGGGGGGGTGCACACTTATCCAACCAGGGTATTGTAGGTTTTTTAATTTTTAATGTCTGACATGATTTATCTTGATTTTTGGCTTTACATCACAGAAACTTGCAATTTAATATAATAAAAATACTATAATAAGAATAAACTTTATTTTATATAGCGTCTTTAAAGGTGGCTTCTTAAAGCGCTTTACAGAATGACAACAACAATAATTAAAAAGAATACTCAAGGTAAAACACAATTACAATATACAAAGGAGACTGTGGATGGTGGTACTGGGAAAAGCAGAGGGGTAAAGAATGGAACAAGTTAAGTAAAGGCTCTTCTTAAGAAGAAAGTCTGGATTTGAAGGAGTTTACAGAAGGTGACTGTCTGATATCCTTGGGGAGAGAGTTCCAGAGCTTGGGGGCATAACAAGTGAAGGCCATGTCACACATATAATGTAGACAGGCTTGGAGGACAGTTAGGAGACCAGAATTAGAAAAACAAAGGTAGCGAGCTGGGGAGTAGGGCGATAATAGTTCAGACAGGTACTGAGGTGCCAAGCCATGCAGAGCCTTATTGGTGAGAATGAGGATTTTAAAGTCCACGTGGAATTTGACAGGAAGCCAGTGCAAGGACTCCAGGATAGGTATAATGTGAACACTTGCACTAGTAGACCTGGTCAGGATTCTGGCTGCCAAATTTTGGACATACTGCAGTCTACACACCCACAATTTCAATAAGGGTGTGTAGACTTTTTATATCCACTGTAGATATCAGATAACTTTGTTCACACTTAGTTAAGCTGAAACACATATTACTTATGTTTGCAGTATTTATGGTAAATTTGAAAAAATTAGCCTACCAAATGTAAAGTATTTATACTCTGTCAGCGCAAATGACTGTGGAGTAAATAAGAAACCTTCTTGAATATATGTAATTAATAGGCAGATCGAAGATGTTCAGCAAGTTTAATTTGGAATGGTCACTGTTTTTTTTTCTGTTAGAACCACCTTGTGGTAAGAACCTTGAAGACATTCTTCAGTCAATGACAGCCCAGGAGGAAGAGACAGAAGGCCGCACTGTGGACAAACAGGATGTGTTAGAGCACCAGGACCCAGACACAAGCTTAGGAGCAGCTTTGGAAAGTGAAGAGGATAAAAACAGTGGCAGTGACCATCATATGGCCTCCTTGGAGAGTTCATTTGAAACAAACATTGAAAATGTGGGTGCTATTAATATTAACTCCGAAGAGGTAGAAGAAACGGGATTAAGGAGACGTAACAGACACGAGTGAACACTAACTTTCTGAGTTTTTTAAAATACTGAAGATTTCCCAGTGCATTATTCTTTAAATTGCAGATTTAGTAGAAATGAAGTCTGGTGTCTATTGTTTCTACATCTGTGATCTTTAAAACCATATGTTAAACACTTCCAGAGCTTCCTTATGCTTTTACATTGCACCCCTTTAAGGATTGTGCACCTGGGTTGCACCAGTGTGAAACCTGAACCTAGCTGAGGCTGCCCAGTGTGCCTTAGGTGTTTACCCACTGCACTGTGTGAGCTGTGCTACACTACTTGATGTTGCACTCCAGGGTTGCAGGAGAGAATATCTCTGACAGAGTAAAAGTTAGGTCTTTTGAGAAATATACTTGGTTGTAAAAATTAAAGTCTTGTTAAGTACTCTACAGCATTTTCAGGATAGGCATTATTCTAATTTATTATAAAGTTATATAGATTTTTAAATTTACCACGGATGAGGTATTTGAGGATCTGTTCCTGTATAACTGTGTGAGGTTTCTAGTTTTTAGTGAGGCATGTTTGGTCGTAATCTATGCATTGCATGTTCTGTGTTTTTGTTGAAACTCCTGCTGGTATGTCTCAATTCAGATATGTGTTGACTTTGGGGAAAAAAAATTGATTTTTGTGAGTAAAGGCAAATTATATCATACTAGTCTTCATATATACAAGGGAATTCATTCTTCATGTAATGGTGTGAATTTTGTTTAGGAGGACTTTGCTCGTATTTGTAAGCCCATACAGTTTGTGTTTACTGAACCTATAGAATGATTGATATAATCTTTAGTAGGCTAAATGAATCTAATATCCCAAGAAATTAATACTGGTGCTTTAAACAAGAAACAAACAATACTATTTGGTAAAAAATTGGCTTTACCTTTTAGGATAAAAAGGAAACACAAATCTTCTAACTTGAGATTACTAGTTGTAGTTGAGGACCAAAGATTTGTAACTCTTTGCAAATGTACAGAGGAAAAAAGTGGAACTGTTGATTTGTGACTTTGAACCCGGTTATATTTTTCTAGGGGGGGAAAGATCTGAGTGAATTGTTTTCATTGATATTGTTTACAAAAGGTGTATGAAAGTTTGATGAATGCCTCTAAACTGCTTAAACTGGGTATACTAAAAGCAGGAAAATATTGGATTTTAAAATAAAACATATAGCTTTCACCTTTTACCATTTTACCTTAAATGTTCATAGACCAGAAATGTGAAAAGCAATCTAATTTCTCTTAACTGGGCAACTCATTGATCCAATTAAGTGATTCTGAGCACCGCTAGGAAAAAACCAAAAGACACTCTTAACTCATGTTTTAGAAATAAAACAACTTGAAAAGTAATATATGGTTGTGAATTGAGTAAGAATCAATTGCATGTATAATAACACTCTAACAGCCTTGTAGCATGATTGTTTCTTAAACACTATGCATGATTCGCTCTTGTCAGTACTGGAAAAACCAGGTCACTGCTGTTAAAGGTGCTGGACTGGTAGGTGCCACTCCTCCCTCTAGGCCAGAATGTCCAACCCAATGCCCCAGTATGATGACAAAGCACACTGTGATGTAGGAGGTGCCATCCTTTAGATATAAAGTTAAACCAAGGTGCTGACATCTTGGATAGTACAGAATCCCAGGGCTGAGTTTGAAAGAGCAGACGTGTGAATATAGGTATTGTGGCTAAGTTTAATTCTGGCTTAAACAATGTAGACTGCATAAAACATTTCTCCTTTAGAAATGTATCTTATTCCATCTGATGTGCTGATTAGTGTGTTGGCTGTGCATTACGCAGGTGGGTACTGTACTTCAGTGGTGGCTGAAGTGGTTTCCCTCTTGTATGAAAATAAAAACAGGTGGATACGTGACCTTATCTACAACTGCATATCACAATGATAAGATAGAGATAACGATTCATTTGTGATTCAATGATTCATACCCGAAGAAGGCTCCACAGCCGAAATGTGTTTCCTTCCTTCTCTTTTCAGCATGGAATAAACCTATTACTTGTTCCTTTGCAGACTACGCATGCTGATGCAGCTCCCTACTTGAACTACATGAGTCATTTGTATTTGCGTCTCTTAAAACAGTGTTGTGTTTTCTGAGAGATTTAATCTTACAATCTATATATACTATATACTTTGTCACACAGGGGAAGCAAGAAGAGTTTCAACAACAAAGCATTTCAACAATAAAGAGTACAATACAGACTTCATCAGTAAAAAGGAATGTCTGGTTTGTAACCTTCATTGCCATTTGAGATACCTGTCTATATTATCTGTTAAACATGTCTACTGAAGGTGGAGTGCCTTGCGAGCAAGGTGAAAGTACTGTATGGTTTGTGTGCAGACTTGGTTATGATCTGTTTGGTTGCCTTACTTTAAATAAATTAGTCAATTTTGTGTTGTCTTTTTTCTGCTTTTATTATTGTGGTTTTAAAGACTTAATGTAAACATGCAATGTTAAAGAGACCCTAAAGTGATTTCATCCTTAAAATGGCATGTCACACATTAGCATCAACACTAAATGTTTTTATACAGGGCAGATCGTTTACTGTAGTTTTATATAGTCATTTTTGTACTACTTGCATTTGTCTCTTGGCTTGAACATGGGGACCGAAACCACGCTAATGCAGATTTCCTTGAAATCCTCAATGGCTGAACAACATCCTTTGCAATCAGATACAGATACAGTGAATATTAAAAGTTTAGCTTATACATCTCAGGCTTTATTGAAAAGTGTTACTACAAAATGTTAAGTAACATTTCTAAAACACTCCCAGCCAAGCAATCTTTATTCCAATTTATTTTTTCTCATTATTTGTATATATTTTTACTTAACCAAAACAAAAAAATTAAAATGTCTAACTGCATTATGAATTTACCATTCCGATACACAGTAATGTCACAAACCATGTTTCTAATCAGTGCTAATGAATGCAACTTTTCCAGTAGAAGAACCGAATCGAAACTATCGAAGTTTTTTTTTGTTTTGATCTAACGAATACGTGCCCAGCGGTCACGCTTTTAATCGGCATGTTGTGCGTCTTCAATCAGAAAGCACATGTTAACGTTATGTTTTCACTTTAGTTTCGAAATATTTGTCAAGTATGATAATTTTGAAAAATGCATTACGACTATGTTCCATTTCCAACATACTGCAGTCGAGTTAATGAAGTCATCCATGTAAGTGCGGTCTATCTGCGATCCGGGTATCGGTGTGGAGTGACCTGGCATCCAATGTTTGTGAAACCAAGCAACAGGCGTGGGAGGCGGAGTCTGTCCTCTACACCTTCCGCAGATGGATGCTTGAAAATGGTTTCTAGTATCGAAACTTTGAACTCCCATTATTTATAATTCGCTGAAGGAAAAATATTGGTTTCGTTTTTTTTATAATGAATTTAGAAATACAAGGCGTACCAGCTACACCAAGAGGAGGAGCAAAATCCAAGCAAGAAGGAGAAAAGAATTATGCACAGGTAAATTTGTGCCTTTTGTCGCTTAAAACATTTGTTTTGATGTAATTTGCTCAGGACGGGATTGTGTTTGGTTTGCAAACATTTAGTAAGGTGATTAGAATATCTTTTAATTTCTATTTGTATAATTCTTGAAAATAAAAAAATGCGTATGCATTTTCCCCGAATTTATTTTGAATGTTAAAGATGAATTAAGAAGGCCTCTGCCCTCAGACTTGTTAGCTACAAAGAGGACTACTGGTCACTAGATTAAATCTAAAGCGTATTCGCAGTGAAAAGATGCAGTTATCTGAACCGTGAAAACAATGTGATACCCAGTCATAATAAATAAAGATTAATACGTATTGCTCAAGATAAAATATACATAAAGTACAAGAGAACAAGCTAAAAAAATTGCAGAGGAGAATGTTGAAAGTAAGTATAATCTTCTATGCTATCTAAATTCTTTTCACATAGGAATTTGATCTATTTTATTTTCCTTTCCAGGGATGGAGAGTCCAGTCAAGAGCATCTCGCAGCCCTCGTCCTACGGAGTAAGAATTACAAAGTTATTTTTCACATACGTTTTTTTAACCACAGTGTTAAGAATTTTAACTGTACTTATAGGACTATTACACACGTTACTGGCTATTTTAATTAATGTTATTATCTTTAGGCCTATATACACTGTGATTAGAAAAGTAAGTATCCCCCCATATGATTTTATATTAAACGTTTCCTCTAAGAGTTGATCAGTCTTTCACATTGCCTAATTCTGCCCCACTCTTTCTTACAGAACCGCTCCAGCTCTGTGATGTTTGAGGGCTTTCTTGTGTGCATAGCTCTCTTTAAGTCCCACCACAACATCTCTATTTAGTTTAGGTCTAGACTTTGACTTGATCATTCCAAATCCTGTTTTTTTTTCTTTTTGAGCCATTCTATCTTAGATTTACATCTGTTTTGGATCTTTGTCCTGTTGAATGATCCACTTTTAGTTCAGCTTTAGCTGTCAGACAGATTTTCCTCTAGAATACTCTGGAATAGTATGGAATGAGGCATTAAAGGAGGTATGCATTTCTTCTGGTCGAAGTAGTGTTTGGTTTTGGCCAAATATGACGTTTTGAATTATGGCCAAAACACCAATTTTGACTCATCTGTCCAGATCACATTTTTAAAGAAGTCGTGCTTTTCTTTCACTGTTTTGCAAACAAAAGCCATGCTTATGTTCTTCTTGGAGAGCAGGGGTTTCCTTCTGGCTTTTTTCTTTTCGTGAAAGCCATTCTTTTTCAATCTTTTCCTGGTGATAGACCCATTAACTCTGACATTTATCATAAACATGAGAGGCCTGTAGATCCCTGGATGTGACCTTTGGGGTTCTTTGAAACTTCTATGAGCATCATATGGCCAGATCACATAGAGAATTTTGTAGGATTTGGTTGAGAGCGAGTCACAAAATTACAAAATTAATTAATTAACAAAATTACATTTGTTGAATTTTTGGAGGATACATGATGCCCATTAAAACAATTTTTTTTCAGAACAGCTGGAAATTGTCACGAGAAGAACATTTTGTTATGTGGTAATTTACTTGTACCTCCAATAATTTGAAATTGTAGGACGGTGGAACTGGATCCTGGCTGTGTTTCAAGCATTGCAGTTCAGTCTGTATTCAGAATTGTTAAACTAGCTCTAATTAAAAAAAGACTATCACAGACAAACATCATTAAACAGGTGTTTTGCAACAGTCTTTTTATATCTTACACTAATAAGGAATAAAAAACTGTACATCAGATCCTCTTTTATTGTAATTAGTTAAGCATAGGCTGCATGAATTATCAGGTTTCTTTACAATTTTGATGTGAACAGGAGCATCATTAACCTGTTCTGCAAAACCAATACAGCTGTTGTTTTTGGCAGAGTCCCTGAGCTAAGACTGGGGAAACTTGGTGACTCAGAAGATGAGGTGAGTGATGCTTATACAGTATCTTGTAATATTAAGTCAAGCTTGATATTAAAGTACAGTGGTGTCGAGTAGAATAGTAAGCACCAAAAACCTAGCATGTAGTGGAACCAGTAATATCTGTTGCTCTTTTTAATTCCTCTTATTATATTTTGCAATTCACAGTATGTTTTCTGGAATCTTAGGTCTGTTTAAAGTAAGTTACAATGGCTGCAGTAAACGAGGGGATTGTTGGTCAGTTTCTTTAATGTGGTAACATAACAAGCCTACTTACTGACAATTTACTTTTTGGATTATGCAGTTCATAGAACTATAACTTCGTTGGCACTAACTATATCATGGTTATAT